GTCCAGAGTTAGAAGACCCCTTGGTCATTTTCACCTCACCGTATAGTTATTTTTGTGAGTGCTTGTTTCCACAACTACAAGCGTCTTCTCGATGGAGAGACTCAGCCACCTTTGGAGCCTCTGCAGGTGATTCTCAGTGAGTGGTGCAAATGCTGATACTGCGGAGGCACAGGCCCTTCTGGTGGTCGGTCCAGGGTGGGGCTGGACACCCGTCATTGAGACTCGCTGTGATGCTGTGTCGTTGTGGCTGCACAGTCTTTGCTTTCCTCGGGCAGAGTTGGAGCCTCTGGAAGTCCCAGGCTTCAGATTGGGGTGGCCATGAGGGGACGCCTGCTGGGGTCCTTGCCTACCGTGTGCTGCCACATCTCCCTCGCCCTGCCCTGGGTGCAGTGCTGTGGCCTCGGTTGACTGGATGGGGCATGGCATGATGGCCTCAGAAGCAGCAGCAGAACAGTGCTTCCTTGATGCATCTTTTTAGTCTTGTGACGATGGTATCGAGAACAGAATGAGAGCTAAAATGTGCGTGAGTTTGAGCTCAAGCTCTGCTCTCTGCGCCATGACCTGTGTTCATGCCATAACTAATCCTCACCCACCCCAGGAGACGGCTCTTAGTGCCCGTGACTTACACCTGGGCCTGGGGGCAAAGGGGCCGAGTCAGAGTGCACTGGGTCAAGGCCAGGCCGCAGTGCTCAGGCCTTGCCCTCAGCTGCACGTGGTCCTGCCTTCATGAGACCGCATGCCGACCCTCTGTTCACCGGCAGCTGCCGCCCCTTCCTGTTCCCTTCTGCGTTTAGCTTCGGCCTGGTTTTGACCGCAGACCTGCATAGTCTTCTCATCCTTCATGTTGCCTTTCCATCAGTCCACGCTGAAGCCTCAGCCTAGGTCTCTCCAGTGAGCCACAGTGAACGCGCCCCTTTGGCTACTGATGCTCTTGGAGGATGACAGACTGGTGTCACTGCAGATCATTCTCTGAGGTCATGTGTCCAGGCCATTGTCCTCAGTCCACTGTCCCTCAGACACTGATCTTTAAGCCACTCTGTCTAAGGCCGGTGTCCCTCCGACTAGTGTCCCTCATACACTGACCCTCAGGACAATCTCCCTTGGGCCAGTGTCCCTCAAGCCAATATCCTCAGACCAGTGTCCCTCAGACACTGATCCTCAGGCCACTTTTCCTAAGGCTGGTGTCCCTCCAACCAGTGTCCCTCATACACTGACCCTCAGGCCAGTCTCCCTCAGGCCGGTGTCCCTCAGACATTGACTGTCAGACCAGTGTCCCTCAGGCCAATATCCTCAGACCAGTGTCCCTCTGACACTGACCCTTGTGCCACTCTCCGTCAGACCAGTGTCCTCAGACCACCATCCCTCAGGCAGTGCCCCTCAGAGAGTGCAGTGTCTGGCTCTTAGTCCATCTGGAGACCCCTGCCCACAATCCTTCGTGGTCCCGAGTCAGGGTCGGTCCCAAGTCAGGGTCCTCCCGCCCAGGGCCTTCCACTCGCGGATGCCCTACCTCCTGCTTTCCAGGAGCATCCGATGGGAATTCCCTCAAGCAGTAGCCACTGTACACACTCACCTGCTTCTTCCCCATCCTTCCTCCCTTTCTCCCTGTCACAGCCAGAGACATGGCTCCCCCCTGCTTGGTTCTGTCCCCTCCCACCCCCGGGCTTTCAGCCCCTCCTCTTGGCAGGCTTTTCTTCCATCACCAGCTAAACCTGCTCATGGTTCCCCAGTCCTTCAAGCACTCACGTCTTTTGACCCCACTTTCTCCTTCAAACCGAAAGGAGATACCAGCTCACTCCTCACTCCCATCCATTCGCTCTTTACCATACTTCCCACCGCTTTTTGCAAGGGCCCTGGCCACCATTTGGTTGCTACATCCATGGAAATCTTGAAGTCCTCCTTGTATTTCCTCTCTTGTCCTCCCACTTTGAAATGTTCTTTCTGCGGCCACAGACACCCCACACTCTGTCGCACCCCTTCTATGCTCACTGCTCAGCCTCTGTCTCTGGCTTCTCTTCCCATGTCTGCCCCATGCACGGGGTGTCCCTAGGTTTCCCCGACCGGCTTCTGTTCTCACTGTGCCCTTCTCCTCCTGGAGGACTTCATCCATCCCTGTGGGTATAGATTATTATTCAGAGGGAATAGATTCCAAACTTACGTCTCTGGCTAGCCCCTTTCTCTTGCGCTCCATTTCCATATTCTCCCTCTCGCAAATCTCAGCTTGGGTCCTACAGGCGCCTCAACAGTGTCACATCTAGAATGGGATGTCCTCGCCTGACTGTCCTCCTCCATGTTCTAGGTGTCTGTGTTAGTCAAAGGCACTGTCCTGCACCTGGTTGGTGAAGTGGGGTCTTTGGTGTCTTTCTTGGTCACACCTCAAGCCCTGATGCTGACACCTCCTGGGTGTCTGCACCCTTTCCCAGTGCTGCCTGCCTCCATTTGTCACTCAGTCTGGTGACTGCAGTGGCCTCCTGCTTTGCAGGCTTGTCCTCCACCCTCCTGCCCTGGGACCCGAGCAGATAGTGTCTCATTGTCCTCCAACTTCTCTGACCCCTCACCCCACCTGGGCTGGTCCCCTCCCTTGTCACAGGCCCTCAGATCACCTGAGCCTGCCTGTTCCTTGCTAGACCCGCTGATGTCCTCAAACCCTCCTAGTGCAGGCTTGTGTAGGTGCTTAGTTGAGAAGCTGTTGAAGGAAGGGAGGGAGGACTAATGCGGCCGGGTGGTTGCTCCGTGTGATACTGACCTGCTGCGCTTCCCTAGAATTCTCTCACTAGGAGCATTTCCTCGTGTTCCCCCTGCCCGCTCCATCGGCTGCTGAGAGCCTGGCTGCTTCCTTCCCTGGGAAGCTTCTCTGGCCTCCCCAGCCCACAGTCCTGCTCGGATGGCTCATCGGCACCCCAGTGCACCCCCCACCCTGTGTGACACCCGCCACGTTTGTGGGAATTGCCTGGTGACTTTTCGGTCGTCCTCAAAGGCTCCTCCTTGAGAGCAATGACTTGTCTCATCCTCTTGACCCCCACGTTTCGTGCTTTTTGTGGCTCACAGGCGGTGCTCAGTAAATAATTGCTGAACAAAGGAAAACTTCTAACAAACTGTCTTACTGGCTTGTAGAGGAATTGAAGAATAAGCCACTGGAAATAGGTTCAAGGCATTTACAAAGTTGTCTGCTTTTAAGCAGTCTTTGATTTTGATATGACTGATGAGAAATTTCAGACCTGCAGTAGTTAACGGTACTGAGGCAAATCAGGTGACTAAGCTCACGTCTGAGGGCAGCGGCTGCCATGGAGGGCCTGTGCAGGAGCACGGCTTCAGGCACTCAGTGGGGAGCTCGAGGCCGGGGCACCCACAGCTGGAGCAGAGGGATCCCATACACTTAGGAGGGCTTCGTTAAAGTCCGGAGCCTGTGTCTTCAGTGGTTGCGTCGTTTCCCTTACCTCTCTTTATCCTGAATCTGAAATTTATGTGAACCAATTGCAGGATTCACATTTATATATAATTTAAAAATTGATTATGTGAATCAATTTGTATTGATTGTTTTTGAAAGTTTCACTAAGCAGGCCACCCCCTGGAGAACATTTCTCCCCGGTGGACTGTCAGGAGAAGCCTGCTTCAGAGCCGTGGTTGCTGACCTCCTGCCTACCACGTTCCTGCGTTCCAGGAGGTTGTGTCTTTCTACACCTGTGCCCATGGATGCTCATCCTTCCTGGGGCCAACCCTCCACCTGTGCTTGTGTTCTGTCCCCTCTTCCTAGGGCTGTGACCCTGAGGAATCTTCCTCTCCGAGTCCTGCAGGTCTCTGCTGTCCTAGAGGGGAGCCCATCTGTCAGCCAAGTGAGAAGTGAGGTGGCTTAGACTAGGGGGACAGCAGTGATGTGGTGGGTGGCTGTGGCATGGCAGGAAGTTGTCATTTTCTGGATACATTTTAAATGGAAAGTCAGCCAGAGCTGCCAGTGGGTTGCCAGGAAGGGAAGAGACAGATGACCCTGAAGCTTTTGGTCTGAGCAGCTGACCTGGAGACGAAGCGCAGGAGGGGCAGTTTTGGGAGGTGTTAGAGTTCACTTATGGGTACATTAGGCTCGAGGTCCCCAGACCTGCACATGCAGATCTCAAGGAACGGGGATAGAGGAGCTCAGGGAAGTGGCCAGGCTCAGGATGTGCATTTGGGAATGACCGCCCACACGTGGTCCTTCAGGCCATGAAACTGACTGAGGTCACCTGGGCAGTAAACTGGAAAGTGCCCCCTTCTAGCACTTGGGGAAATGAGGGGGAACTAGCAGAGGAGATGGAGGCAGGGCAGGCGTTGAGAGACGGGAGGGGGCAGCGAGAGGTGTCTCAACCCTGTCACTGGGGCCCTGGCTGGCTGGGCTGCTGCTGCCCAAAGTGACGCTTGTATCCTTCCCCATAACTGGCAGGAACTTCTGAAAATGTACTATGATCGTGGAACTCCCTGACTCAGGGAGACCCTGCCTCCCGTCTGGCTCAGAACCGGGTCCCATGTCCTCTGTGCGTGTCCTCCCAGGCTACCGTCCACTCCCTGGGACAGCTCACTCTGGTTTGTGTGCAGCTGGCTCCCTTTTCTCCCTTGGCTCCCCACTCATGTGTCACCTTGACTGCCTACAAAGAAAGCAGAGATCTTCCCACTGGAGTTTTTGGTGGAACCTACTTTTTTTATTATTGGTATGATCTGTTCTGTTTCAGAACTCCGAACAGTTTCAAGACAGGATGGTTCCTGATGTGATTGACATGTGTGGGGTTTGGATCAGATTTGTCCCCTGAGCCAGGGGTGTGTCACCAGTCTTGTAGAGCTGGAGCTGATGCTCACTCTGTCCACCCACAGGGCTGCCATGGCACTCGTGAGATATGTGTTTTCTTTTTTTTTGAGGAAGACTAGCCCTGAGCTAACTACTGCCAATCCTCCTCTCTTTGCTGAGGAAGACTGGTCCTGAGCTAACATCTGTGCCCATTTTCCTCTACTTTATATGTGGTACGCCTACCACAGCATGGCGTGCCAAGCAGTGCCGCGTCCGCAGCTAGGATCCGAACTCGTGAACCCCAGGCTGCTGAAGCGGGATGTGCGCACTTAACCGCTATGCCACTGGGCCGGCCCTGAGATATGTGTAATGATGCTTAAAAACTGCAGTGCAGCGTCACTATTAGCAGCTGCTGTTAGAAATAAGAAACCAAGCACGGAGTGCCAGGAAATGAAGAGGGCCCCCAGCCCTGTGGCTAACTGACCCAGGGCTCAGACAGTAACGCCTGTGAAGAGAGTGGAAGGAGCCGGGGTCCTGTTGGAGAGCCTTTGCAAAGCTGCCTCTTCCCTTGGGTGGAGCGTGAAGCACCTGGCCCCCCGATATGAGGAGAACTCTGCTGGTGTCCTTGTGCACAGCACCAGTGTGACCGCGGTTTCAGTGCTGGGTGTCATGGCTTTCCCACTCGAGCGTTTTTGCAGATACGAGGCTTTTCTGAGCTCTTCCGGAGGTGAGGACAGTTCCAGAAAGCTGTGCTGGGGGAGGTCTTAGGGCAGGGAGTGTGTTAAAGGTCCAGGGGTCTTCATGTGAAGAAATGAGCCTACTCTGTTTAACTTGGTGTTTCCCAATGTGCTGGACTACAGAGTCTCCCCCTCATTTTGGGGGGCGGCAGTTGGCAATCTTGCAGAGCAAACGTGTAGGACACTATTGGGGAGACCATTACAGCTGTCCAGAAAGTGGGCGTCCCCAGCTGCACACATGTGGCTGGTGTGTTGGTGCAGGAGGCAGTATAGACGCTGTGGATTGGACTGTGTCCACAGTTGGTTCCTGCCTCTTGTGACCTTGGGCACATTGCTTACTCTCTCTGTGCCTTAGTTTCCTCATTTGTAACATAGGGACAGTCTTGATTTGATAGAATTGTGGTGTGCTTAAGTAACATGGCTCAAGTGGAGTTTAATGCCACCTGGTCCAAAGATAGTAAAGGCTTGTTGCCGCTGTTCTGTTGTCATGGTCACAGCGGCAGCAGGCCTGGCACTCTGTTCTGTAAAGACCATGGTGTTTGGCCTGCTTGTTGTCTCCAATTTGACGTCAGAAAGAGGACGCACTTGGCTCCCTCCCCAGGGGTGATGCTGAGTATACCACACAATGTCCCCGCAGTGTGACTAGGTCCTTGTTCTGTGTGCCACATGCTGTTCCCACAGTGTGACCAGGTCCCTGTTCTGTGTGCCACACGCTGTCCTGTGGTGGATCAGGCGCTGTGCAGTCCTAGCCTGACTGCGTCTTGGTTTCATTCAGCCCCACCAACCCCCTCAGGGCTCCTGCCCCTGCTTCTCACTGTCCTACGTCAGGAGAGTTGCTCCATGAGGTGGTGAGGTTACTAAGTGATGTGCATTGCCGTGTCCCCATGGGGGATGAGGAGCGAGTTTCCCATTGCCAGTGGAGGAGATGATGGGATTATGGACTAGCTGAGGTCTTGTATATTGTGAGGCGCCCGTCGTAATTAATGGCACCTTGTCCTCTGGGAGCATTTTGCAGTGGGTGTCGTGCTCACATGGTAATCTTTCCTTGGCTCAGATAACATCCCCGAGGACCTCAGGGACCCCTTTTACATCGACCAGTATGAGCAGGAGCACATCAAGCCGCCTGTCATCAAGCTCCTGCTGTCCAGCGAGTTGTACTGCCGTGTCTGCAGCCTCATCCTGAAAGGTGACCAGGTGGCCGCCTTACAGGGACATCAGTCTGTCATCCAGGCCCTGTCCCGGAAAGGGATTTACGTGATGGAGAGCGATGACACCCCCGTGACGGACCCTGACCTCAGCCGCGCACCCATAAAGATGGTGAGTGGCCTGTACCTCCCCCCCCCCACCTCCAGTGTGTCGGGTGCATTTGCCAGGGATACCGTTTGTCTCATACCCACTGGCAGGAGCCTCTGGTGCAATGGGCACTCATGGGCGCCCCAGCCTGTCATGTCGCCAGCTGTCCATGTGTAGCTCGGCTGCATGGATGAGGCAAAGTTGGCCCTGAAACTTCAGGCACAAGATGGTGTAAGCACGAGTGTCCACAAGCTGGCCGAGGTTTGAGTGTGTGCGGTGGTGTCTTGAGTGATATATTTCTCTAAGTGCGAGTGATTGTTTTCGAAAACGGAAAAAACAGCTTCCTCTCAGTTCTTTTTCTCCTGTGCGTGCCGTGTGAGAGAGGAGGCTGAGTCGAGGCACGTTAATAAGAACATCTGGAGGCAGGCTTTTCTGCAGGTGTGACATGTAATCGTTGAGCCCATTTTATTAGATTGTTTCATGTATATCTTGTATTTTTGTGCCAAAATGAAGAAATAAATATGCCTTTTTCTCCCTTAAGCATCCCCCTCCCCATCTTTCTCTGAAAGCCATACCACTGACGTGACTTTTCCAGGCCGCTCCTGGTCTAAGCCAGTTCTGGTGCCTCCTACATTGCTTCTGTGTAGGCTGTTCACTGGCGTTTATGCTCTGTGGTTTTTCACTCTTGGACTTTGTGGATGACGTGTTGTGGCTCAAGAGAATGTTACTCAGGTTCTGGGAAGGAACGGGGTAAGGCACGGCATGAGTTTAGTGTGCAGAGCTCCTGACTGGTACCCAGGGCCTGTTGAGGGTCCTGTGGCCTCAGGCACGTCTGTCTGCCCTCCCGTACCTTTTCCCTCAGCTGCAAAGGAAAGATACGCCCACCCCGTCCGGGCTCTCCCAGGGTTGTCAGGGAGATGAGGAAGGAGGCATCAAGCCCTCCACACTACAGGGGGCCGTGCTGGCTCACCCCGAGGAGGGGCAACGTGTGGATAAAGATCGTAAAATCTCCTTACACAGACAGGAGAAAAACAATGGAACCTCAGAGTTTGGAGTCTGAGTAGGGTCTCCGCATTGAACCTGGTAGGAGAGGCAGGTTTGGGCAATTAACTGCTGCCTCTGCTCCCAGAGTGCCCATATGGCGATGGTGGACGCCCTCATGATGGCCTACACCGTGGAGATGATCAGCATCGAGAAGGTCGTGGCCAGCGTCAAGCGCTTCTCCACATTCAGTGCCTCGAAGGAGCTTCCGTATGACCTCGAGGATGCCATGGTGTTCTGGGTCAACAAGGTGAGTGCTGCAGCCGTGCCCAGAGCGAGAATGTGACTCTGTGGGTCATCCCCTCATCGGGCAGTGTGGACAGGCCGGGGTGCTCCTTGGGTGGCTGGTCCTCTTCCCCCTGAGAGCGGCACTCCCCTTGTGGGTTCTGCTGACACCAGACCCTAGCAGGTAAATGTGCTGTGACAGGAAATGTGTCTGCTGTGGTTCAAACAAAAGCAAGCAGGTGTCCCTCCTGAAGGGGACGAGGAAGGAGCAGAGCAGGGGCTGATGAGTTTGTAGTTGAAAATACGGGCATGTTTATGGTTTAATTAGTAAATTCTTTTTATTTTTATCTTAAGCACCTATATGCATTGGAGTTCTCAGTTTTAAACGGCATTTTGAGCATTAAGAATGGTATCTTCCTAAATGCTGCTTTCTCCCTTTGCTTTCGAAAGCTTACAGTGTCATCTTTTGTACAGTGTGTATAGAGAATGTTTATTTTAGCAGCATGTGATTATTTATAGGGTTACCTTACTTTAGCCTTTTGGGTATTTAGCCTCCTTATTTGCAAAGAGGCGTTCAGTGGGGACACTTTGCTAACAAAACAAAGGACATAGAAGATTAAGCAGCTCCTTGTAAAGTGTACAGGAATTTTTAAATTATTTCATTATACCATTTGCACGTGTATTCTTTATAATGTAAGGGCTTTATAAGAGGTGAAATAAAAATCCAGTGGCCATGGGATTTGTTGAAGAACGTGGCAAAGCCAGGCCAGAGTCTGTGTGGGTTCCCTGTGTGCTGGCCTCCTGCATCACTGTGACAGGCGAGCTTTCTGTCAGGTGTGCATTGTGGCTCCTAAGACAACTGCCCTGCTCTGTCCTTGGTTTCCTACCCAGGTGTGGGTTTGGGGAGTCAGGTGGATGGGCAGACCGCCTTACATCTCTGATCCCGTGGGGAGGTAGAGGGCTTTTCTAGGACTCAGTGGAACCTCTGGGTCCTGGTGTGGGCTCAGTGCCCCTAAGGTCACATCTTGGTGGTGGGTATCACATCTGACTCTTCCCCCAGCTTAGAATAATACTGTGCATGTGGGAGGTGCTCTGCAAGAATTTGGTTAAAATGTAGTGTTTAGGTGCATGTTTCACTAGGAGACTGAACCTTTGGGTGATATTTCTTTAATCCTAGCATGAGCTTCCTATGACCAGAAGTTCAAGTTTCAGCTTTTTTCTTTAACAACTTTTATTAATTTTTCTCCTTATAAAAGAAATGACATGCTTATTATAAAAAATTTAGAGAACCTGGGTGAGCAGACAGAACAAGATATAAATACTCCTTAACCTTACCACCTGTAGATGTGGTGTTCTGATGCATTCTCCTAGTTCTCATTTGTTCAGTGTAACATATCGACTTGAAAGCGCATTGGGTCTTCCCAGATGCAGGAGCGGCGGCCGAGGTTTGCGTTTGGCAGGATGTGGTGAGCAGGCCGCTGCCTGCTGCGGTCTCAGTGCGTGAGAGGCTGAGCTGTCCTCACGCTCCGTGCAGGGGTCTCCGTGTATGGTCACAATTATTTCCCTTCCACTTACTCCTGGTGGACAGTGGTTGTGCCTTAGCCGAGGTTCCTTTTTATAGGCTTTGGATTGGTTTTTGCCAAATTTCTGACCATAAAGATTGTACCATTTTTTTCATACTCTTAGTCCATGTGTCTTTTTTCCATGTCTTGTCATATATTGGATATTATTAAAAAATGCTTGCCAATTCAAAAGGTGAAAAATAGTCTCGTCTTTTACTTGTATTTCTTCATTCACTGGCAAACTTGAAGTTTAAAAAATAGAGTATATGTTTGGCTATTTGTCTGTCTTTTTGGTAGATTACTTTGTTTATCTTTGGCCGTATTTCTTGTGGGAGGGTACGTTCCTTTTTTCCCCACCTCATCAGTTTTCTCATACATATATTTAGGGTGTTAGCCATTTGCCTTCTGTTTTAAATGCCTTCCCAGGTTACCGGCGCCTCTGTTTCCCTGTGGACTTGGCTCCCATGTAGAAGGTGGCCTTCGTACAGACCAGCAGCGTCACTGTGGTGCTCTGGCATGTGAATTCCGGTAGTTCCCTCCATGTTTTCAAGAAACACACTCTGTCTCTGACTTGGGGTCTGTCCTGGCTCCAGAAGATGTTGCCTTCTGACTTACTCTTATTACAGATGTTGATCATGGCTCACGTGACCCTCCCCTCTGGTCCACGTCTTTCTGCATGGTCACGTGGACTGCTTTGACCAGGTCAGTGGTCGGACTTGACGTTACGACGCGCCCCTTGTCTTGAGCCGTGCTTTGTTTTTCCTGGAGTTAATGCTTCAGTTTCTCATGACCTTTTTTCCCCTTACCCAGTATTTACATTTTTATTCAATGTTTTCCATGTTTTGCAATTTTCTCAGCATTTCCATGTGAATTTAAGTTTCTAGCACTTAATGGAGTTTCCCTCGTGTGAACCGTCTGATGTGGGTGAGCTGTGAGCTCCGGCCGGGGGCTCTCGCTCCGCTGCTTTCCGGTAGGCTCTCTCCAGCGCTGGTGCTCAGTTTTGGTAACTCGTGACTCTAAGGAATTTGTCAGTTTTCCTTAGATTGTTGACTTGATTGGCATAAAGTTCGTAGTGTTTCTTTGCCATCCTTTAGCGTGTGCTCTGTGGCGCTGTCCCTGCTTGTTCCTGCTCTGGGTGACCGCGTGTTTGCTCCTTCCCTTGGCTCATCTGGCGCATCGACTTTATTAATCTCCTAAAAGACTTGCTTTTTTTCTGTTGCTTTCTGTTTAATTTCTCCTCTTGCCTTATTATTTTTTCTTTCTACTTGTTTTGAGTTTAATTTGCTCTCCTTTTAGTTAAGGTAGAGGGTTAGTTCCTTTCCACCCGTCTTCGTTTGGAATATGAACGTTTAAGGCTGCGTCTTCCTGAGTAGGGCCTTAGCTGCGCCTTACACATCTGATGTGTCGTGGCTTCCATCATCCTCTTCAAGATTGCCGGCTTCACGTGTAGACTGTTGTTTAATCAGGGAGTCATCTACAAGTTTGTAGTTTAGTTTCCAAATTTGTAAGGGGGAGTGGCTTTAAATATCTTTTAGTGCTTTGGTTTCTGATTTTGTTGTGGTCGGAGAACATACTTTGTGTGATTTCAGTCCTAAATTTATTGACTTGTCTTCTGGTCCAGCGCATGGTCTTGCAGCATGTTTCTTGTGCACTTGAAAAGAATATTTGTCCTGGCGTTGAGTAGAGTGCTCTTTGTCACTTCAGATTGGTGGTTGGTGGTGTTTGCATCTTCTGGAGTCTTCTTGCCCTGTCAGTCACTTACTCTAAGAGGAGAGTTGACATCTCCAGCTGTAATATTGTCTGTTTTTCCTTTTGGTTGTCTCAGTTTTTGCTTTATGTCTTTCCACACTGTTACTACATTTATACACCTGTGGGATTTTTTTTTTTTTTGCTGAGGAAGACTCACCCTGAACTAACATCTGTTGCCAATCTTCCTCTTTTTGCTCGAGGAAGATTGGCCCTGAGCTAACATCTGTGCCAGTCCTCCTCTATTTTTTATGTGGGTTGCCATCACAGCATGGCTGCTGATGAGTGAGAACTGAACCTGGGCCACTGAAGTGGAGCACACCGAACTTAACCACTAGGCCACGGGGCCGGCCCACACTTGTAGAATTTTTATATCTTCTTGATGAATTAACCCTTTTGTCATCATGAAATGTCTGTCTTTATCACAAGTGATAATCTTTGTCCTGAAGTCTACTTCATTTAATACTAATATGGCTGCTCCAGCTTTCTTATAACTAGTGTGTGCATGGTGTGTCTCTTCCCTTCCTTTTATTTTTAACCTCTTGTCTTTCTATTTTAAGTGAGTTTCGTATGGATACTGTAAGTTGGTCTTGCTTTTTTATTCAGTCTGACAGTCTGTGCCTTATCATTGGAATGTTTACAGCAGTTACATTTAATGTGATTATGGAGGTGTCTGGGTTTTACCATCTTGTCTGCTTTCTCTCTATCTCAGTTTTTCTTTGTCTTTCTTCTCTTCTGACTTATTTTGGATTGAGTACTTTTTAGTGCCCAATTTTATCTTATTTAGTGTCTTATTTTATTTCGTGTCATTTTCTCTCCAGTATTTTTTAGGCTACTTTAAGTTTTACAATATGCATCTTCAGGTTATCACATTCCACCTCCAAGCAGAGTGACACCGTTTCATGGATTGTGTCGGAAATGTCCTTTCCCCTTCTGACCTTTGTGCTACTCTTGTCATTCATTTCATCATAACCTCCGAAACGTGATTTTTGCTTTCAATAGTCAGTTCCCTTTAAAGGAATTAAAAACAGAGAATAATATTTACCCACGTATTTTCCATTTGTGTTGTTCTTCCTTTGTACAGATAGAGTTCTCAAACTCTTTGGTTTCAGGACCCTTTCACACTCTTAAAAATTACTGTGGACCCCAAGAATTAAAAAAAAATTATCACTATGTACCATATTAGAAATTAAAAGCAAGAAAATTTAAAAATATTTATTAATTCACTTAAAAATAACAGCTCATTTCATGTTAATATGAACAATGTACTTTTTATGAAAAATAACTTTTCAAAAATAAATGGTGATATTTTACAATTTTGTCAGCTTCTTTAATATCTGGCTTACTAGAAAACAGCTGGATTCTCTTCCCTGCTTTTGCATCTTATCTGTTATAATGTGTTATATTTATTGAAGTATATGAAGGAAATCTGGCTCCACATGATATATGGTTGGGAGAGGGGAGAGTATTTCATAATCTTTTCAGAAAATTATCCACGTCTTATTTTGATTCTACACTGAAGCTTGATAAGTGGTAGTTTCTCAAAGGTTAATTGCAGTGTGGAATTTGAAACCATTATCAATTAAATTTTTTTAAAAAAATTGTGATACAGTTGACATGCTGAAAACTCATTATTTAATTAAATTAAATTAATTTATTTTTTGCTGAGGAAGATTTGCCCAGCGCCAACATCTGTTGCCAGTCTTCTTCTTCTTTTGCTGAGGAAGATTTGCCCTGAGCTAACATCCGTGCCAGTCTTCCTCTACTTCACATGTGGGACGCTGCCACAGCATGGCTGACAAGTGGTGTAGGTCCATGCCCAGGATCCAAAGCCACAAACCCAGGCCGGCGAAGTGGAGTGTGCCAAAGTTAACCACTAGGCCATGGGGCCAGCCCCCACTCACTATTTTAAAGTGTGCAGTTTAGTGGTTTTTAATATATTCAGAAGGTCGTACAGCTCCCACCACTAATTCCAAACGTTTTCTCGCACCCTGAAAGAGACTCTGTGCCCGTCAGTTCTCGCTCTCCACCCCTTCCAGCCCCTGCTGGTCACTCATCTGCTTTCTGTCTCTGTGGATTCTTCTCTTCTGGACACTTCGTATGCCTGGAGTCATACAGCAGGTGGCCTTGAGCGTCTGCCTTCTTTCAGCTCAGCACAACTCTCAGCCATCTTGAGGCGTTTATCAGCACCTCATTCCTGTTTATGACTGAGTATTACTTGTTATGTCACATTTTGTTTGTTCCTCAGCTGAGGGACATTTGCAGTGTTTCTGCTTTTTAGCTGTTGCGAATGGTGCTGATGTGAACACTTGTTACAAGTGTTTGTGAGGATGCGTTTTTGTTTCTCCTCGCTGTGTCTCTCGGGGTGGAACTGATGGGTCGTATGGGGCTCTTTGTTTAACTTTCTGAAGCAGTGGCGAACTGTTGTCCACAGCGACCGCACCATTTTACGTTTCCACCAGCAGTAGCTGAAGTTTCCACTTTCCACATCCTTGCTAACACTTGTTTTTCTGATTTTTCAGTTCTAGCCGTTCTGTAGGATGTGAAGTGGCGTCTCATTGTGGTTTAGATTCACATTTCCCTGATGGCTAATGACGGGGACCTCTTTTCATGTGCTTATTGGCTATTTGTACATCTCCTTTGGAGAAACGTCTCTTCAAATCCTTTGCCCATTTTGAAATGGATTATCTGTCCTTTTATTGTTCTAAGAATTCTTTTATCTAGTATTCTTGATGCTAGGTCAGTGAACTTTTTGTACTCTGTTATATTAAAGTCATTGTATCTTCTTTGCGTCCTTCCTGGCTCTTTTGCTGGCCTGTAATTCTGTGACATCACACATTGGTCATTTGGAAAAGTGTTCCACTGAGTTGCATAGATTTTCCCAGTGTTGTCACATTTCATGATACAGTATCAAAAATTACATTCATTAATGTCACCACCAATCTAATCAGAAAATCTTTTCCTGGGGCTGGCCCAGTGGCCCAGTGATTAAGTTTGCACGTTCCGATTCTTGGCAGCCCGGGGTTCGCCGGTTTAGATCCTGGGTGTGGACACGGTACCGCTTGGCAAGCCATGCTGTGGTAGGCATCCCATGTATAAAGTAGAGGAATATGGGCATGGATGTTAGCTCAGGGCCAGTCGTCCTCAGCAAAATGAGGAGGATTGGCAGTAGTTAGCTCAGGGCTAATCTTCCTCAAAAAAAAAAAAGAAAGAAAATCTTTTCCATATTTGAAAGCTGTCTAGCTTATGGCAGAAACATATTTTCTAAAAATTTTTTTTATTTCCAGTATCTTATTCTGAAAAATTTTAAACATGCAGTTAAGTTGAAACAATTTGGAGGCCGGCTCTGTGGCCGAGTGGTTAAGTTCGTGCAATCCGCTGCGGCAGCCCAGGGTTCAGATCCTGGGCGCGGACATGGCACTGCTCGTCAGGCCACGTTGAGGCGGCGTCCCACATCCCACAACTAGAAGGACCTGCAACTAAGATATACAACTATGTACCGGGGGGGGGGGGGGGGGGGGGGGGGGGGCGTTTGGGAATAAAGCAGCAAAAAAAAAGAAGATTGGCAACAGTTGTTAGCCTAGGTGCCAATCTTTAAAAAAAAAAAAAGAAATAAAGAACACTCATGTCCCCACCCCCTAGATTTTACAATGTTTTACATTTTACATTAGATTTTATATTTTACAGTACTTGCTTTATTGCTTATCCATCCATTCTAATTCATTTATTTTTAAGTTTTTCTATATTGATTTTTCTTTTAAAAAATAATCTTTCTACTTCCTTGATTGGATTTTCTTGAGTTCACTTAGCTATATTCTTGTTTAGTAATAAAATCTGCCTTTTCCTCTGATTATAGCTTCGACCACATCCTTTTAACCATTGATGAATATTTTTCTTCATGGTATTTTGTAATTGCAATTTTGGTTTTATCTTTGAGTTAATAATTCCAGGAGAGAATGCTTTAATTTCCAAGAAGTTGTGTTAGTTATCTAAGCGCTGTGCAGTTAAAGCTTTGGGATTAAAGTTACCAAGTGTTATTTTTGTGTGCTCGGGGGCCTGGGTGAGCCGCCCCTTAGGCTCTGCAGGGGGCATCTCAGCCAGACTGTTCATCAGCAGTGTTTGTTGATGCTGACGGAGCACGTGTGCTGCTTGTGCACCGTAGACGTCCAGTGATGGGGCTTGTTGATCCTGTCGTGAGCTGGAAGCATTGCGCGAGCGTTTGGAGGCACAGAGTATTTCCTGGAGTAGCAGGCTGACCTTGTCCACGTTGAGTCACAGACCACGTGGGGTCCGTATATTTCTGCATGTGTGTAATTGGCCTAAAGAACACCTGTGTCTGAGAGTCCAGAGTTAAAACAAGGGAAGTGGGGTCTCTGGGTGGCAAAGTAAAGATATGGCTACCAGTGTCGGAAAGCAATTGCCTTTTTAATGCGTTTTTCTTCTACTTTAGGTAAATCTTAAAATGAGAGAGATAACAGAGAAGGAAGTGAAGTTAAAGCAGCAGCTGTTGGAGAGCCCGGCCCGTCAGAAGGTAACGGGCTAGTTTAACCGCTCTGCTGTGCACGGAGTTCTGTGCCCCTGGTCTTAGAGAATCACATCATAGTACTCCTTGCTTAGTCTTTATTTTTACTCACTAAGAAAGGAGTGGGTCTCCTCGATCCCCTGGCAGCTGGCTCCCCTTTTCCCCCTGGCCCGGAGTAGTCTTGTGTTTAGCTTGAGAGGGTGAGGGAGATGTTGGGAGGTATTGGGAAGCTCAAAAGTAAGGGGTGACAGGGCTACCCAGGAGTTACTTCCAGAAGTCAGCAAATGAGGAGTGAATTGCCTACTGCCAAGGGTCCCCTTGACAATCCCTTACACTGGGGTCTATGCAACTGGTTGTAGATCTCTCAAACCCAGTGTGGAATTCAGGTGGATAAATATTACTTGTCTAATGAAATGATGCAGACGGTGCCTTAGGCATTCCGGTCATTTCTGTCCTTTTCTTCCCCTGACGTTATTTCATTTTTTGCCGAGCACGTGTGACTGCGTCCCTTGAACGCGTGCACGACGTGGCCCAGCCGTGTCTGCCATCGCTCGGCGTCCGCTCGCTCCTGGACTCTGGGGATGCTGTGGGCACCACACACTGGGCCTGCTTGTTAGCCTCCTTGTTCCTCCTAGGGGCACAGATGAGGCACTGAGTCTTGGTTGGCCTCTGTCCTTTTTGATGCCCAGCCTCTACCAAGTTTCCGGAGTGTTCTTTGCTCCTGCAGAGGCCAGTGTTGTAGAGGTGCCTGTGACCTTCCACTTGAGTCATCTGAGAATACAGAATGTCCAGGCCACGTGCGCTGGACAGATCTTCCTTCTCAGAGACGTCCCGCCTCTCTTGTAAATGCTGTGTGAACGTGGTATCACGTCCCTCCACACATGGACCTTCCCTGCTGACGCTCCTCTCCTGCCTTCCTTCCCTTGCTCCGGGCAGTCTCCCTCCAAGTGGTACTGGAAGTTAGTGCCTGTAAGTGAGCTCCGTGCGCCGCTGCCATCAACAGCCATCCTGTTGCAATCACTTGCTTCCATTGAAAGTCGCTTGCACCCGAACCTGTTTCTTTTTTCAAATGTCCTCCTCGGTATTGTTATGACACTTTGTCCAGTACGAGCGATAACCTGATTCTGGGCTGAGTAGGCTCCATAATATGGCACTTGGGAGTTCTAAGGTGCGTTTCATAGATAACACACAGAGTTTGGTTTTGCCCAATTTCCTAGGTAATTTTAAAGATAGAGTTTTGTGTTTCTTCCTATGGAACTTAGTTATTTCTTTACGTGACGAAAGGAAAAGTAAACGATAGGATCTATTCTTTTTTCTAATGGAAGTCAGAAGGAATGATAAATAATTAATTTCCCAAGTTATTCTTTATATTTTGTTCTTTCTGATCCTGCCTTCCCTAATGGAGATATTAATAGGACACGTCTTAGTAACTGGAGCGTGGACCGTCTGATGAGGAAGACGGTGCACCCTGTGAAAGGGTGCTCGTGGGCTACGGAGAAGGACTCACTCCCCAAGGACCTTTAAATAAAATGTTGTGTGAATCTTCCCATAAAAAGAAAGTCAGAAAGTAGTCAGTCCAGCTGTGCTCCACGTGGTGCCCGTTCTGCATAGGAACGAGTTTGTTACACTGTTCCTGTGGGAAAATACCTGGCGCTCCAAGTGGTACATTTTAAAATGAAGTTTTAGAACACAAATCTTTTTGCTTACTCCTTTGATGGCCTGTTTCCTTTAGTTTAATTGTTTGGGCCAGATTATCTTTGGAATTCTGTGATGTAGGAGACACCAGCGGGAGAAGCTGGTGAGTGAGATCCGTGTGAGCAGTGATGTGGTCTGCCTTCCGGCTGATGGAGAATTTGCTTCTCTGAAATAGAGTAATAACAAAGAAAAGGAAAACATCTTTATGAATATTTACATATTTTTTAGCTTCTTGAATCCTGAAAGCCAAACAGCAAATATTAAAACAATTAGGTGATGTAGTGAGGATAGAGTCAGAAATTCAGCTGTGCTACAGGAAGTGAGGTTTCAGATGAGAGTTTTATAGGAACTGGAACTGTGACCAAGAGCAGTGACCCCTCAGGACTCCTTTAGTTCATGACGGCGCTGCCTGCAGTGTCCAGCAGACAGGCTGGGGAGCGTAAGTGTGGCTGGGGCTGGTCAGATTGGCAGGTCCAGAGGTTTCACCGTAACACTCCAGCCTGGAGGGTTGACAGACCTGACTTGAAGGTGATTCTAAAAGCTCCCTGGACCCTGTAGTTGAGTGTTTTGCCTGATTTTAAACGCATACCATCCATCTTCAGTCGAGGAAACATTTGCTTTACTGCATGCTGTGGTCGGTCACTCGTGTGTGCTGTCTGTCTGTGTGGAAGCCTGGCCTGGCGCATGCCCTCGTGCTCTGCATGCTGGAGCCCGTGGACCTGGCCCCCGGCGCAGTGTGGGCATGTTACATGTTGTAGCCAAGGCTGTGAGCCCTGAGAAACAAGTTAAAGTCTATGTCGAAACAGATTCTAGTGACGTGAAATAAGCCTTATTCCTAATTTTAAAAGAATGTATTAGAAATGTTTTATACTAAGTATCATTATTGAGGGGCTGGCCTGGTAGCCTAGTGGTTAAATTTGCGTGTTCTGCTTTGCGGCCAGGGGTTGGCGGGTTTGGATCCTGGGTGTGGACCTCCACCCCGCTCATCAGGCCATGCTGTGGCAGTGTCCCACATTTACATAGAGGAAGATTGGCACAGATGTTTGCTCAGGGCCAATCTTCCTCACACGCGCACACACACACACACAAGTATATATATATACATAAAATCAAATATGAGTATTGATTATTCTATTCTCTATGCTTACTAAGATTACGACTTTAAATTCCAGATTGCTGAGAGAGAGTTTTTCTTTAGGTTGAACTCTCAGAAATCCATAGTTGTTGGTACAGACTATGGTTCTCTTCCTCTAGTTTGGGTTTTGTACCTTCCTCCTCTCAAGAAAACGTGGCTTGCAGGAAATGCCCTATTTTAAAGCCATATTGTGACTGTGAACACAGAAAGAACGAGCGTCCAGTAGGGCGTTTGGGACAGGCACCTGTGCTGACCCACCTCAGGCATCAGTCACGGCCTGTGTGCTTGGACGCTGACCTCAGTTATGGGCGTGGCGCTGAGGGGCTCGGGGCAGCTCACATGCATGCACATGGTTTCCCCAAAGGCAGGAGTCTGGAGACCTTGAGAAGATACTTGTTTATAGAGCACCTGGCCTGCATTCAGTTTCCTGACACTTTGTTGCGCTTACTAGAGGGGCTGGTTGATGTATTGTACGAAATTTTGTCTAGCCTGGTTTCTGAAATTTCTCAAACTATATATTAACACTCTTTTGTATTTTTCTCAATAGCTGAGGGTAATGCCAATAATACTGAGAAAAGTAGCAGTAACTTGGATCTTCCATGTGTTAGGATGTTCACCTTTTAACTTGTTTCTCATTCTTTACCGTATACCAGCTTTTGGTAGTGTAGGCGTGCCTTCTGCTCTCTTTTCTGTGTGTGTCACGGCACTTTAGAGTGAGGGGCCCTGTGTCGTTAGCAGCTGATTGCTGTCACCCAGTGTAGCCGTGAAGCCCAGTTCCCTGGATCGTGACATACATGTTCCAGGCAAAGAATGTAATCCAGGCGTTTTGAGCTTTTTCTGTACAATTGCTGCTACTCCGCACAGTGTCCACGGGCGTTATGTTAGCTCTCGATTTAACCATCTGCCTGTGATGCAGGCCCTAGTGAAGGCACGTCACGTATTGAGCGTTTTCCTTTCATCGCCTGCAGGTGCGCTATCGCCGAGAGCACCTGTCTGCGAGGCAGCCGCCCTGCTTCCCGTTGCTGGAGGACCTGATGAGAGACAGCAGCGATGGGGCCGCTCTCCTGGCCGTCGTCCACTTCTACTGCCCAGAGCAGATGAAGCTGGATGGTGAGTGGAGAAGGCTCCCCTTGAACAGACCTAACGCCTTAAAAAGATGTTATAATACACTGACCCAAACGTTTAAAAAACCAGAAGGTAACACGCTGAGTCCTTAATACCCACTGGGATGCTGGCATATAGATGAAAAGATTTGAGGATGATGTCCTTACACTTAACCTGTGTTTTATCTGAGGAAGAAATTGTATTTTGAAAGTATTTGGGTGTGTTAAATATTTGTGACTTTACTCAAGTCCCAGAATAGTTAGGGTCTTTTCAGTCCCGTTACACTTGTTTTACATCTAGAACTTAGTTTGGGGATAGGAAAAGGAGTGAAGAATACAGTCTGTATACAAACCATTTATGAACGATTCCTGCGTGCTTGGTACTGGGGGCGTTACGATGCCAGTGCATCTTTCTGAGGCGCTCACAGGCTGGTGGTGGGGAGAGAGAGATGCGAATGACTCTGTGAACAGCATGACAGTGGGTGTCTATACAGGGGGCCGTGGGAACTGGAATTCTGATTTAGGCTTGGCTGAGCACCCTCTTTCTGAGGGAAGGGGGTGCAAGGCCTAGAGAATGCCCGGAATGCTGCCCCACACGTGAAGTATTTGTGTTAGACTCCGGCGCTAGAGATGGAGCTGATGTTGGTCCTGTTCCTGCTCCAGGTACAAAAATGCTGGATCTTGTAGTTTTTCTAGATAAAATAGTTTTTAAAATGCACAGCTGAACTTGAAAGGAAGGGGAGTCTCGGGGTCTAGGAGAGGGCCTCTGTCTTTGAGTGAGAACCTGTGAGCTGACGGGCCTCCCGGGCCTCATGCTCACTTGGCCCTGGGGCTCTGTGGTTGGAGCTGGCACCAGGACCCTGGGAAGGAGGAGAAAATCTCCACCTCCTGTCCAGGAAAAAACCAGGAGGCTGGTCAGATGCCTGTGGTGGGGGAGGGGCAGGGGCCTCTCCTGATGGGAGAGAGGTTGAAATGAATGCTGCCTGCTGTATGCCACCGGGAGGTTCGTGTGGAGTAGAGTCCAGGACTCCTGAAGTTCGCGGGCCCTGGCAGGAGTTAAAGCAGAGTTTTGCTGTGTAGGAGTGATTGCACGTGCCAGGGCCCACTGGACACCGCAGAGAACAATCACCCTACGGCCGGAACATGGGCCTTGTGGGAAAACAGAACCACACAAGGAGAGAGGCCTCACCAGAGCTGCAGATATGACGTATTTGGCACCAAGACGTCGGTGAAAGAGAACATCTGAACAAGAACACAGTGTTTAAAATGATTAAGACGTAAGAGAAGAACTAGAAAACAAAAGAAGGACAAGGACAGGAGTGGTACCTGTGTCTTGGAGTTACAGGTGTGTTTCCTGTGTCCTGGCGTTAGAGGAGTGGGACCTGTTTGCTGGAGTTTTTCCTTTATCCTCAGCACCTTTTTTGCGTTTTCTTCTCTTTTCATGTCTTTCATCCTCTGCATTCGGGATATTTTCTGAAGTCTACCTTCTGGTTCACTGGTTCACTTAGTTCTTGCTTCAGTTGTATCCGGCCTGCTTCCAGCATGTCCACTGGGCTCTAAAGACAAAAAGAATTAGTCAGGCTGGGAGTCAGTGTTGGTGCTGGAATGACCCACAGTTGAAGCTCATTCCATCTAATAGCAGAATATCAATATGGATATTTTAAAAGCTGACAGAATTACAGGGAGAGATGAACAGAGCCACACTCCTCACTTACACTGTGGAAAGTGGTTGAAGAAGCCGATAAGAAGAGTGAGGCCACGGAAGACCTGAACCCCGAATTAACAAGCTTGGTCCTGGGCACCAGCCATTATGGAATATGCTCTTTCAAATAAGCAAGCATGGAAATATTTACAAAAATGGACTTGTTAAGGCCACAGAGGAAACCAACAGATTGCAAAGAATTGATACTTTTCCCATGGTGCAGTAAAATGAGAAATCAGTAACAAAAACATGCAGCCCCTTTCTCTAAACCTCTGAAGTCTTTAATGCTTAGAAACCAAAGAAGACAGTTTTCAATATTTCATGGGTCAAAGTAGAAACCATAGTGGAATTTTCTAGTCTGAGCTGCACGTGGACAGGGATTTCCTGTCTGTCTTGTTCACTGACAGATCCCAGCCCTCTGCAAAGGTGTCTTGGACGAGCTGGTGTTCAGTAGATACTTGTTGAATAAGTGAGTGAATGACATACGTGCCAGAACTTGTGGACGCAGCTCAGAGTGGCCAGTAAAGGGCCATTTGTAGCCTCAGTGCATATTCTGGAAAAGAAGGAATTTTTAAAATTAGTGAACTAGGTTGATCTCAGTGCATTATAAGAGAACTTAGAAGTAAACCCAAAGAATCGAAGGAAAGGGAACGAAGAGTAGCTTCCTGTTTCCTTCTTTAAAATCACTCTGATACAAGGAGAAGAAGGGACTGAATTGCACATTCCACCTGGGAGGAAACTGGGAGACCTCTGGACCCTGAATGACAAGCCGCCTAATCAAGGAGTGGTAAAAGGAGGGCAAGCCAGAGCAGCAAGTCGGCTCCTCCCGTGGAATCTCAGCAAGGCACCAAACGGACGTGCCAGGACGGCAGGGACAGCGAGGACTTGGTGGGGGTTCTTTGAAAGTCACTTGGAAGAGCAGCAAGAGCCCATGTCCCCTTCTCCTCTGTCAGGTAGTGATGGCGTCCTCCCCACACCCTTGGGAGATGGGGCTCACTCTCGTGGCAAACGGAGCCTGAACAGGATGCTCTGTGGGGAACCCGGTGCTTTGTGAGGTGGCCCACAGCTCACAGGGAGAGGGAGGGCTGGGTCCAGAGTATGGGGATGCAAGGCCACCTATTGGGGAGATATGGTGAGATCTCACCCCACGTGAGAGAGAAGCCCCTCTCCTTGGGTGAAAGACCTAACCTGAAAGCAAAATTTAAAATTTTGCTTCTGAAAATTTCTGAAAAGAAAATATTTTTTTTCTCATTTTTTAATTTGAAACCTTTGAAAACTAATCAATGAAACTACAAAATTAGTAAATGTCTTGAAATCTGTATATAAAACATAAGTTGGCTCTCATTTCAAACTCTCATTTATTAGTGTACCACTCAATCTTAAAAAAAAGGAAGGGCAGCTTCTAAGATAATCTTAAACCATTCTTTGAAAAAGGAAACTGTTCCTTTTAAGTTTGCACTCAGCCCATACTCCAGTTTCAAAACACATCATTTAACTTGTTTGCTCATGGACATTTCCAAGACGAGACTTTGTTTCACTCCCGTAGCTTCCGGTTGTCAGGAAACCCGTGTGTTCCTTTATGGAAGGAGTTTGGTCCTTTCCTGCCAGTGTTCTTGATCCTCCTTTTTGCTTCTGGGGGCGTGTCCTCTGGTTCACTGTCGTCTTCATCATAAAAAGCTGCTGCTCCCGAAAGGGTTTTTGGAGCAAGATTTGGAAGTTTCTTCAGGCTCACTTGATCCAAGTTTGGTGGATACAGCTGAGGCTCTCTTTGTCGTCTCACTGCCTGTGGCAAATCCAAAACGGAGGGCTCTGCAGGCTTTGTTGGGTGGTCTGCAGCCACTTCTTCAGCTGGCCGCTTCTGGGCCGCGACTGGAGCTCACCTCTCCTGGCGCTGGCACTCCACCTCGAGGCGGCCCCAGGCCTCTCCGCTCCCTCCTCCCGTCTGCCAGTTCCCTGTGTTTATGGCTTTGGTGTTGGGATGCATTACTTAAGTTATAAAAAACCACAATTAATAGGAAAGATTCGCATATTTAACCATAATAAAATTCAATATGGTGACAAAGGAATGTCATAAACAAAATTATGTGAGAAACTATATCCGTAAAAAATATTTGCAACAAATATAAATTGATAAAGAATTGTCACACAGTCCTTTTGTAACAGTAATACATAAAGGATTCCTATAAATCATTAAGAAAAAGACAAACAACCCAGAGGCAGGATAAGAACAGGCTTTTCAGGGAGAGGAAGTGGGGTAAAACCACTCCAGTCACCAGGGATGTGCCGTTTCAGAAAGGGGTATTTCACACCCATCAAATTGGCAAAAATTAGAAGGCCTGATCATGCCAGGGTGGAGGTAGGACAGGAGCAAGCTCCAGAGGTCTGTGGTGGGCTGTGAAGAGGTGTTGGCCAGGTGTGAGGAGTGTAGCTCGTGGCCCTGCCAGCCCCTTCTCTGAGTGTGCAAGTGCAGAGAGGACACACAGTTTTGGTGTTTACAGCATTTTTTGTGATAGTGAAAATCGTGGAACACTATATAGTGGTTAAAATGAACGACTGAACTCGAGCCACATCAACATAGATCTGTTTGGAAAGCTAATACTGAATTGGGGGGAAAAACAGGCTGCAGAATGGTCGGCCTAGTTTGTCATCATTAATGTAAATTTAGGAGAGCCAAGTCTGCGGTGTACTGTTTATGGGCACGTTGCTCATGGGCCCAGACCGTGTGTGCTGAAAACACTGACGCCTGCGTGGGAGGGCGGCCGGGGCTGTAGGACAGTCGTCGCCTTGGCGGGGAGGTGGGCTTCAGCATGAGCTGTGGTATTTTGTCACTGAAGGAAAGCAAGATCTGACTCAGGTAAGGTATGATGTTGGTATTTGAGTAGAGGGGACATGGGAGTCTCATCTTTATATTTATAGATTTTATAATCAAAATTTTTAAAAAAGAGACATTACCTAACAATATAGATGTGCACAGTTACTCAGCTTATAACAGGTTTCTCTTGAGAATGAATAGTGCCAGGGCGTTGCATAGGACAGAAGTCATAAGTGAATCTGAGATGCTGTGAATCTAATTTGTGCACACTTCTAAACCCTTGAAAATGATTTCCTCTTAGAAATACAGTTATTTTAAAATAAGTTATATTTCTCAAACCTGTTGTTTTGTATTTATTTGTTTACAGGCAAAAAAGTCCTCAATACAGCCACTTCTCATCTCGTCTTGAGCTGAGTCGAGCTGATCTGGTGGTTCTTGTCTGAGAGCCGTTCCCCTCCCCCACTGAGCACGCAGAGTCGTGGGGCTCGATGCCTGTGCTGGAACTGACTGACTGCTGGCATCCTGCAAGGCAGTGTGGGATGGAACACTGTCCTACCGGATGCCAGTAGCCAGAGTCCCCACCTCTTTCACGGGGGAGACTTTGGCTGTCCTTCGTCTCCTGATTTTTGTGATGAGGAGTATTCCTGTATTATTCCTTGGATAAACCTGATGCTTCCTATTTTATCATCCCTCCTGCTCCTTTGCACTCGTGGAGATAGCCTTGTGCAGAGGCTTTCCGATTGGTGGAAGAGACTTGGGTAGACGTTAACCAGCTTAATGTAGAAAGGTCCTTTTATAAACTGCAGGGTGATTGTTACTGTCCACTTTGGAAGCCCAGTCTTAAGTAATTTCTATTAGCTTTTTAGATGTTAACAATTCAGTACAGATCCTGGAGACTTCTCAGCTCTGTCTCTGGAGTGTTTTATTTCTGTATTTAGTGTTGCTTGTAATACTTACTGTAATTTTTAAATCTCTTAGTGTTGTTACCTTTTTAAATATCACCACTACCTTCATTTGAAGTGTTTTGCAGCTCAGAATTTTATATGTATATACACATACTTATGAATCAGAATATCTTTATAGTAAATTGTAGTTTTTTTTTATCTATTAGATATATGCTTGAAGGAGGTAACATCGATGGCTGACAGTCTGTATAATATTCGGCTTCTGAGAGAATTCTCAAATGAATATCTTAACAAATGCTTTTATCTCACCTTAGAAGATATGCTGTATGCGCCCTTAGTGTTGAAGGTAATAATGAATTATTAAACACACATTTTTAAAACCATGTATGAATAAGCTACTTACTGTGTCCTTGGTTTTTTTGTTTTTTCTTTTAGCCCAATGTTATGGTTTTCATTGCTGAACTCTTCTGGTGGTTTGAGAATGTCAAACCAGATTTCGTTCAACCCAGGGATGTTCAGGAACTGAAAGATGGTGAGTGACAGAGTTTCCATAAAATGATGGCTGTTTCTTCTGAGAGATTCCAGGTGCAGTCCTCTGAAGATGTCTGTAATTGGCTCCTAACTTTTTGTACAAGGAGCTGGTTGAGTTTAGATGGTTTCTTTAAGGTACAGAGACTGTTGTTTTCTTAGCTGCCTGTCTGGTGCTTTTCTATCGTGGTCCATGGCGGTTACTCGAAGAGTCTTTCCCCACTGTCCAGCACTGGGCCTGTCCTTGTCCTGTAGCATCAGAATCCAGGGGTGAACGGGTTGTTTGGAGGAAAGCTTCCAGGTGGTTCTGACGCGCTTCTTTGGTGAGGAATCACAGCCCTTCTCTCGTCTGTGATGGCCATTCTCACCCTTCAGAGTTCTTAATTTTTGCCCCTGAAACAAGGCAGAAAAAAATGTGTGCTTACCATAGAGTAGAATTATCTTCCAGCCTTGAGAATTGATAAAGCTTTAAGAAGATAATATGGGAGAATGTCTTTGTGTCCTTGTGATTTCTTATAAAGAATCTAAAAATATTAGCCACATAGGAAAAGATTGATAATTCAACCACATTAAAATTCAGGCTTTTTTTTCATTAAAAGATGATAAAAAGAGTAAAAAAAGAAATCAGCTACTACAAGGGAAAGAAGATAGTTGTGATACCTACGACAGATAACTGGTATCCAGAATATATAAAAAGCTAATTCATGTCAATAAGAAAAAGAAAAACTAATAGAAAAATGAGTAAAAGACTTGAACAGGTACTTCTTGAAAGTAGTACTCCAGAGCCCAGTAAACTTATGAAAAGATGCTTAGCCTCATTAGTAGTGAAAACAGAAATGAGACGCAGATTCACCCCACCAGATTGGCACAGCAGACAGTGGCACTGTGCCGAGGCTGGTGAGGTGAGGAGGGCGTTTCTCTACCCTCGTCACACAGTCCTGCTCCAGAGCCACGGCGCCTCCCTTGCTTGAGTAAGCCTGTTCTGCCTCTTCCAGCTGGGCCCCGCCTGTGTGGCATGCTCTCCTTCCTGCAGGTGTCCTGTGAGATCATGCTCTGCTGTGCCCGATTCTGTGTGCTTTGCACCTCACTGTGCTTTCCTGGGAGCCTCTGACTCTCTCCCTCGTGAGCTCACACAGCAGGCGTGTGTCGAGCAATAGCTGGGAGCAGGCACTCTGGCCGGCTGGCCCTGGTCGCACAGAGGTGGACAGTCCATTGGAAAGTGCAGCCTGGGTAACTGTGGAGCATCATGATGTGTGCTGTGACCTGGAGGAGCTGACCTCTGAAGGATGAGTGGTTTTTTAAGGCAACACGGGGTGGGGCGGCTTGGAGGCATCAATGCAGGGAGAGGAAACAGCATTCGTGAAACCACCAGCGCCTGCAGTGTCTTGTTGGTGACCCTTCTTCTCGCCTGTTGGCTCTTGGGAATGAGCAGTCAGAAAGCCCAGGAAGCAGCTGTAGATAGGGTACACTCTGGGATGTCACGACCAGTGGGTCTTGTGGTCATGGACCCACTTTTATAAGGCATGTCCCCCGTCTGACGCATGCTGTGTGGGGTCCTGTGCAGCGAGGTGGTGCTGTCTGTAAGCCATTGGCTAGAGGTATGGCTGAGCCCCGTGGACGGAAGGGCAAACACTCCAGGAAGAATGTGGCCCGTCTCCCCAAAAGGAATTGCTGGCCCTCTCAGAGTGGGCCCAGTCCAGATAACATGCCACCGAGGGGTTGGTTGGCCTCTGCGAGGACTGGTGCTGCACTAGGGGCTCAGCCTTGGCCCCTGGGGAGCCTGGTAGGTGGGAGTGGGTACCTCTTGCCTCCCATGTGTGGGTCCATCCCTGCCTCTGGCCACTTCTTGCATGTGCCCATTGTGCTAGCATAGCAGTGGCTGATGACAGGCCACTACATTCTGAGTTGACGGTCTGTTAGCCAAGCTTGGGTTTTTCTTCTTCCGTCAACTGGCCATCAGACATCCCTTGTGGCTGCAGATAGGAGCTGGGAGGGTGCTGGTGCGTGGTGGTAGATGACATGCAGCTTGTGGCCTCTGGCCCTGCACAGGCTCAGTCTCAAGGTGCCACTTCTGCTGTGATCAATTGCTGATGGACGGCTTTCCCTTGTGACCAGGAATGTCTCACAGAACTCCGCTCGTGATGTATAGTTCTGGACACTTGGTCACTCACTGCCCTGTGAGCAAGGCACTCAGTCAGTCTCCACCGTGCCCTGTGCATGCCAGGGCTTGTTTGTGAAGGTGTGTGGTGTTTTGTGGCAGCTAGCATGGCCCTGCTCTAGAATCCCAGGGTCCTGCTCTGGGTTTCTCCCACAGGGACTTGTTTTAGACCACGTGGCTCATTTCCCCCCACTGAGAGCTGCAGTACGGAGGGTCTGCCTGACTCTGTGGCCTGGGCCTGCAGAGGAGCCCTTTCCTGCTCTGCGCCCCATTTAGAGCCTCTGTGCCGCTCAGCTGGAGCGGCACTCCAGGTACACCAGCAACAGGCGCGAGGGGGCCTTTGGATGGGATGATCTGGCATGCCTCTGACCACTGGATCCTGACAGTTTTACTGGTGTGGCAGCCCGTGAGTCTCTGTGCAGGCATGGCGCGGCTGGGTTTTCCGCTTAGGGTCTCAAAAGCGAAATCAGGGTGTTGCCTGGGCCAAGTTCTTGTCTGGAGACTGCTTCCAAGCTCGTTCCTGTTGGTGGAATTCAGGTTTTTTTTTTTGCTATAGGACTGAGGTCTCATTTCCCTGCTGGCCATCATAGGGACCACTCTTGTTCAGTGCCTAGAGATCAGAGGTCACTGCACAGGCCTCTGGCAGGGCACCTATACCTGGGCCTTCTGCTTGGCTGACTTTGGCCAGGATCCATCTGGTTTCTTCAGGGGCAGCCTGGGGGATTGAATGGAGATACAGGGGCCATACCCATGTGTCCTTTTGATCCTTGAGGAGGCACTAATTTCCCCCATCCCTGGATGGGATAAGTTCTGATTTACCATCTTGATGGGGTGGGGGGGACGGACACATTTCTGAGGTTCCCCTCGGCCTTCCTAACACCCAGTGTGGCTCTTGTATCAGCTGCCGAATATGTTTTTCCCGAGTGTACATTTGGAGAGTGGGGCATGACCCCCAGCTGGGCCTGTGGATGCGGTGGACCCACTGGCAGCTGGATCTTGGCCAGGCCTTCACTTCTCTGCTCTGATGGGCTGTGATGATGCTTTGGCTCTCCGAGTTCGATACCACCTTGGTCCAGCAGTCTGTGACACATTAGGTGCCCCTTTCCGTAGTGCACAGGCACCTGAGTGGATGGCATCTGTCCCTGTGGGGAAGCGCTCAGGGGTCGTTGCTGTGGGCTCTTGCTTTAGTGTTGTGGGTCCTGGTTCCTGGGGACTCATCTCCAGGCACCTGGCCTTGGCTCAGGCCCAGAGATGAGGCATGGAGTGGTGAGTTTCTATAGGGGGGACCACCCTTGGCAACCCCATCACCCCATCCTTGGTTTCTTCTCATGGGACAAGTTGACCAGGACCATCTTGTAGCTGCTTGTTTGCATTGCCCCTAGGCAAGCTCGGTTCCCTTCTCATTCCCATGACTCTCTGCTGCCAGGCCACATGGCTGCCACTCCTGCCGTGCAGGCCATTATGTAAGTCCGTGTGGACTCTGCCAGATTGCACAGCCGCCTGGCTTCCCAGTGGCAGTGACCATGGGCAGCCATGGTGTGCTGAAGAGGGGGCCCCTCATGCCTCCATGTGCCAGGGCATCTGTCCCCTGGCCTCCTTGGCCTTCTGTAGCGTATTAGCTGTCCCTCAGCAGTCCCGGTAGCTCATCTCACTTGGTGAGGGCCGTGCTATGAGACTGTGCACAGCACGCCTTGGGGTCCCTGCTGAATTGTGTGTCTCACAGTCTTCCCAAGTCAGCACCCTCTCTCTGACTCAGGCCCGCCCCTGGCCACTGCTGGTCCCTGCCACTGCACCCCGGGTAGCCCTTTCCTCTCTGTCAGGTCCAGCCCATGCTTGTAGGCCTGGTGGCCTAGAGGGGAAGTGGGGGCAGGTCCTGCAGGGGCACATGTCATCGTGCGAGAGGCCTCTGCATGTCTCTGAGCACTCGGCCGGGGGGATTACCAGCTCTTAACAGGAAAGGGCACCCTCTTCTGGGTCACACAGTTCCAGGGAATCTGGGAATTTCGAGGTTTTCAAGGCCCAGAAGTCCCTGTATCGTGTGTCAGGATCTGCGTAGCGGTCTCCCTGGCAACGACCTTCTCTGACCACTAGTCCTGGGCCTGGCCCCAGCTGCAGCAGAGCGTAGTTCTGTGTCCTCAGCCCTCATTCCAGCTCTTGGCCACCTGGTGCTGGCTCAGTCTTTCCTTCTGTGTCTCCTTGAGCTCCAGTGGGCTCAGTGCAGCCATCCAGTCTTGTCATTCTGGAAACTCCCTCCCCACTCTCTCATCACATCAGCCACTGTGTCACCTCTGCCGGCCACCCCCAGTGGACTGCCACCTGTGCCAGAGCTGTCTGAGCTCCAGCTGCCTTGGTGCTGGGTCGTTGTTGCCAGCCGGGCAGTGAAGAGTCCAGCTCCTACTGCCTTGGACGACCCCTTAGGCCACCTGTCTTGAGGCAGCTCTCTGGGGAGCAGCCTCAGAGATGGGGCTCCTGTTCCAAACTGGAGCTACGGGCCAGGCCTGACCTCCTCATCCTACTCCTTGGGGACTTGAGCTGAAGGGACCACTGGGGTGATGGGTCATACGCTGGGCCCAGATGACCAGGCCTTTCTGCAGCTGAGGCAGCGGGCCTCCTTGAGGGCTGGGCAGCAGGGCGTCCTGGGCGCTCCTCTTAGGGGGCCCCATGGTGGAGGCTGGTTGTTGGTGGTCAGAGACACACTGCTGGTTTCAGTTCTTCTAATCTGTGTCTTACCTTTTAATTTTGGTATAATATTTGTAGTACTTGTTATTGCAGAATACATTTGTTAAACTTGAAACCAGCTTTTTTGAAGAAGTTTGGTTTCAAGTAAAAGTTGTATTATTCTTAGTGCTTTTAGCTTTTATAATCTGTCTTTTTTTTTTTTTTAAAGATGCTTCTTGCTAATGTTGTAAGGAACTGTAAATAATATGACTATTTCTATAAAATTGCTATTTCTGCAGCTAAAACAGTGTCACACCAAAAAAGCAGTCGGCCTCCTGTTCCTATCTCCAATGCCACTAAGCGCAGCTTCCTGGGCAGCCCCGCGGCAGCGAGCCCGGCTGATCTGCAGTCCTCCACCCAGCTGCCAGCCGAGGGTTGTCCCAGGCACCACTTGCACCCCGAAGAGTCTGAGCATCTGTAAGCGTGTCTGCCCTCGGAATTAAGTCACCGTCCTGTTTCCCCTTTGCTTGTTAGCATCCAATTTTAGTTGTAGTGAGAGGTTGTCCCCACCTGGCCCCGCCCCTCCCCTCCCCAGAGGCAGGGAGGATGACTTTGACTGCGCACCTGAGCCGTGTGCTGTTAGCATTGGAAACTCGTGTTTTACAGACTATAGCCAGAAGTTAGTGTGGCCCCTAGTTGCAGTTTTTGGATACTTATCCCAAGTTTGAAGTTGTTGGTATTCTTTTCATTCTTTTTTTTTTTTTTTGAGGAAGATTAGCCCTGAGCTGACATCTGCTGCCAATCCTCCTCTTTTTGCTGAGGAAGACTGGCCCTGAGCTAACATTGGTGCCCAGCTTCCTCCACTTTATATGTGGGACGCCTACCACAGCATGGCTTGCCAAGCGGTGCCGTGTCCACACCTGGGATCTGAACTGGCGAACCCCAGGCCACCAAAGTGGAACATGTGCACTTAACCGCTGAGCCACTGGGCCAGCCCCTTCATTCATTTTTATAATTATTAATTTTTCCAAAGAATCTATTTCTCACAGATTCGTGTGAATTCCTGACAGTCTCTGTAGTTTCTTTTGCATTTGCTTTTGAACTTGAAGGTTGATAGACTCGTGATTTTTCTCTCTGGTTCTTTTTCCATTTAGGGGGAAAGGGGCCTCTGCCTTTAGCCCATCACATCCTTTGTTGCCACTGAGACAGAAACAGCAAAAGACGATGCAGGGAGAGGAGTGCCCCGGTAAGGATGCTGTCTCCTCGGTACCTTCCGTTTTTCCTCACTTCTTCTTACTATATGTATTAAAATAACAGTTCTCAAAATTAAATACTCTTATTATGATGTAGTAATTTTAGTTAAGAAGACTATGGCAGAATAAGTTTTAATTTGTACGGATGTACCCTAGAATTTATAGTCTTTATAGTAAACATATCATTAAAATCTAATAAATTATATGAAGTATACAGAAAATTGCTGTATTGTACTTAAGCAAGAACATACATATTGATGTTCACTTAAAGTTCTGATTATTTCATGATTTGGACTGATTACTATTGAATTACATGTTACTTAGTATTGAAAGTATTGAAAATTGTATTGTGATTATCTGCTTTCCGTGAGCAGTTTTGGTGTACCAAATTATGAATTTCCTTGAGAAATGGCTAACATGTTGAAAGAATTTCAAATGATATAAAATTGGTTGCTTAACGCTGAACGCACTCTTCCTTTGAACTGCAGATCAGCGACACCGATCTAATTCTTTAACACGAGTCGATGGCCAGCCGCGAGGCGCAGCAGCAGCGTGGGCGGAGAAGAAGAACAGGTGACCTCTCTAGGTTTCAGATAAGCTTCTACTGGAAATGTCCATTAGCCTAACGCAGCAGGTCTCCAGATGTCCAAGGACCCCTGGGTGTCACGGAGGGAATCCATCCAATATATCAGAGATTTGCAAAAGTGTGAAACAGTGCCACTCTTAACACTATAAACTTTTTTGTTTTAGAATATATGGTCATTTGTCATGTAACAGGTTCTTATTGTAGTTTTTAATCAGTGTTTTAAAAGTGTCTCAGCTTTAATTTCTAGTATGATAAATATTGATTTATATTGATAAATATAATAAATAAAAACTCTTTGGGGTTCTTAGTAATTTTTAAGGGTAAAAGGAGTCCTGGGACCAAAATGTTTGCGAATTGCTAAACTAAAATTGTCTCTGGTTTTCTTTTGCCCTGGGGAAGAGTTTGTTTAAATCTCCTAGATTTCACACTCGTATTCTCTTTTCATAATTAGTTGTCTCTCACTGTGTTTGCATGGCCTCTCGTGTAGTCAGTGGCATGTCCAACGGGCTTCTTTCCCCACGCTGCAGGCCTGTGTCTCAGCCAGCACCCGTTGCTCTTCATCATGCTGCGAGCTGCGATCTGGACCCTGGCTCTGGTGATAGCGTCAGCTTGGCCCGCTCCATCAGCAAGGATAGTTTGGCATCCAATATCGTTAATCTGACCCCACAGAACCAGCCGCACCCCACAGCCCTAAAGACCAATGGGAAAAGCCTCCTGAACAATGTCGATATTGAGGACGAGGATGAAGAGCTTGTGGCCATCATTAGAACGGATGTGGCTCCCCACAGCGGTGACCTGGGCCTGATGGCAAGTGCCAGATCTCCCCAGAGACTGGCGGACACCTTAGAAAGTAAGCCTGACAGTTTCTTCTTGGAGCCGTTGATGCCAGCCGTGCTTAGGCCAGCTAAAGAGAAGCAGATGATTACCAAGGAGGATGAGTGCGGAGAAGGGCGGCCAAGGAGCTTCACCTCCAAGAGGTCCAGCGAGGGCTACCAGCCTCTGCTGCGGAAGAAGGCATCCAGCGGTCATGTCAGTCGAGACTTGAATAGGACTTTCACTCCCATCTGTTCAGAACTTCCTGTGGGTTTGGACCCTGTGCCCGCTGAGGCGGGGCCGCAGGTGGTGGGGGAAGCCTGTGGTAGGCCTCTGGCCAGTGGCGGTTTTGATCCATTGTCTCAGGGACAGTCTGCCGACGGCTTCTTTCTTCATGTAGCCAGAGCCGAGGAAGACACGGAGGGCAGGTTCTATGTTAGCTGTGCAAAAAGTCCCAACGCCCACCATCCAGAGCCATGGACTGTCCTGAGGCAGGACTCCGACTCGGACATTGCAGATCTAGAGGAAGCTGAGCACGATTTACTTGGTGAGGACCACCCTGTGGTGATCACTAAGTATGTCGGTGAGGAGGAGTCGGCAAAGCTGCAGGAGGATCTGAAAGTGAAAGAGCATGAGGACAAGGATGACGCCAGTGGCCGCTCGAGCCCATGTCTGAGCACCGTCTCTCAGATCAGCAGCGTCTCCATGGCGAGCGGGAGCGTGAAGATGACCAGCTTCGCGGAAAGGAAGCTCCAGAGGCTCAACAGCTGTGAGACCAAGTCCAGCACCAGCAGCTCCCAGAAGACCACGCCCGATGGCTCAGAGAGCTGCCCGCCCCCACTGACGACCTGGAAGCAGAGGAGAGAGCAGAGTCCGAGCAGGCAGAGCAAGGATCACGCCAGCCTCCTGGCGTCCGAGCTGGTGCAGCTCCACATGCAGCTGGAGGAGAAACGGAGAGCCATCGAAGCGCAGAAGAAGAAGATGGAGACTCTGTCCGCCAGGCAGCGACTGAAGCTGGGGAAGGCAGCCTTCCTGCACGTGGTCAAGAAAGGCAAGGCCGATGTCGTCCCTCAGCCGCTTAAACCAGAACACTTCGCTAGAGAGTATTCTCAGCACAACGGAGAGGACTTTGATGGTGGCGTTTCCAAGATGGAAGAATTTCTTGTTAAGGAAGAGGGGAGAGAGGATCTCCTTAGTGAGTCTCAAGATGTGGACAGGGAAAGCCTGGCTTTCATTCAGCAGCATAAACCGAAAGACCCTGCCACTCTCCACGACCTGGAGAAGCACAAAGCGCTCTCTGCTGCTCTCCTGGAAGACAGCGCTGGCGAGGTGGGGGACGTGAGCGAGTGCGACCTTTCTATTGAGAAGCTTAACGAGACCATCAGCACACTGCAGCAGGCGATTCTGAAGATTTCTCAGCAGCAAGAACAGCTGCTTATGAAATCCCCCACAGCACCAGCTCCAGGTTCTAAGAACAACTCCCAGGACCAGAGAGTCAAGACAGCCATCCACTTCGTCGAGCCGCTCTCTCCCACTGGAGTGACGGGTCACCGCAAACCCCCTCGTCTTGGTCAGGGTCGGAATTCCCGTTCAGGAAGACCGGCTGACCTGAAGGTCCCGAAAGACAGACAGCAGGGTTCCTCCCGGAGCAAGACCCCGACGCCCAGTATAGAGACCCTCCCCCACTTACGGTCCTTCCCTCCTCGGACGCCCTCTGACCCGGGCTGGGACGGTGGTGCAGACCCAGGGAGTGACCCTCAGGAGAAGTGCTTCTTCGACAGTTACCGGCTCCATGATGAGAGCAATCAGCGGACATTTGTCTTGTCCTCCTCCAAAGATGCAAACATTATATTGGAACAGACGAGCCTCAAAGAGGCTCTGGACGGCGGCGAGAAGGAGGCGGGGCTCAGTGCCCCGGCTGGCTCCGGCAAGGAGAACGGGCCTGTGGACGAGCCCCCGAGGAGCAAGGCCAGCCTCATCGAGGTAGACCTCTCAGACCTGAAGGCCCCTGATGAGGACGGAGAGACGGAAGGCCACGAGAGCTCTGTGGACCTCAGCACTGACGGCGATCAGAAGCCGGGAGTCGGCTTCTTCTTCAAGGTAAACTACTGGTAGCGTTTGTATCAAGCCGTTGTCAGGGATGTCACTTTACCTTAGTGGGGAGGGTGTTATGAAGAACTTAAATTCAAAGCAGGGGCTGGCAGACCTCTCTTACAAAGGCCGGAGAGTGGCTCTGTGGCTCTGCAGGCCGTGCAGTCTCTGTCGCAAGCACTGAGCTCTACCCAGAGCAGCCACAGGCCACACCTGCTCACGTGAGCATGGCTGTGTGCCAACCAAGGCCCCTGAAACGTGAATTTCATGTAATTTTCATGTGTCACAAAATGTGTTTCTTTTGATGGTTTTCCAACCATTTAAAAATGTTCTTAGCTTGTAGTTGCCACAAAAACGGGTGGTGCGTCAGATTTGGCCTTTGGGCCAAAGTTTGCTGAACCTGTTACAGAGTCTAGATAGATATAGAAACTTCAAGAAACATTTTTGTTTCTATATGTTCCTTTCTTGTAATTTTTTCTTAGGGAGAAGAGAAAAAGGAATTGTGAGAACTTCTCTGTTTTAATAGTGTCTGCTTTCCTTCTGGCAGCTGTGAGGGTGGATGGCGTACTTCAGAGTCGTCAGATTTTCTTGTCGAAAGCTGCATACTTTGTTTGGTGTTTATGCTTTTATAACGTAAACAAATGAATAATCAATTGGGTGTTACCTCATATTGTGGAAATAGATGTAGTTTTCAAGGCAAACTGAATCCAGTGTGAGACATTTGGAAAGTTGACAAACTTTATGAGTGCTTTCTGAGTGGCATGGTTTTTTTCCTTCTGTATTTTAGCATCTGTAAACATATGCTGTTCATCAGGTAAAAAAAGAGTATGAAAATCTTTGGACTGCATTAAAATTTTCATGTTAAAGTCTGCTGGTGGGCTGAAACAGGTGTTTGTGGGTTATCTGAGGGTCGTGTCCTCTAACATTCTGTGTGGTGTCTGCTCTGTAGGATGAACAAAAGGCGGAAGATGAGCTCGCCAAGAAGCGGGCGGCCTTCCTCCTGAAGCAGCAGCGCAAGGCCGAGGAGGCTCGCGTGCGGAAGCAGCAGCTGGAAGCAGAAGTGGAGCTCAAGAGAGACGAGGCCAGGTAAGCTGGCTCCGGCTGCCGGCCCGCCCACTGTGCCGGGGAGGGAGACGGGGCTGCCATGTCCAGCCAGACCAGTGCTGCTGGGTGAGGCTGCTAGCGCCTGTGTCTCAGGCCGAAGTTGGGTTACAGCGTCTTGTGTGCTGTCATCTGGGCCAGGCTCTGGCTTAAGCACTTGCTGTGGGCTGTCTCCCTTCATCTCCACAACAACAGTGGGAGCTGTATGACTTTATCCCCATCGTAATGCGACCTGGGAAGTGTGCTGGCCATGGTTACGCAGCTCTGCGGTGAGGCTGGGTGTAACATGGGGAGGTGGGGGTCGGGGCCCGCACCACCGCACGAGTGCTGGCCCCCCTCTGTCCCCACTGCCGGAGGTGGTGCCTGGCCACTCTCCAGACGAATCCTTCTAACCAGGACTGTCTTGACCATGTTTTTCTCTCAGGCGTAAAGCCGAAGAAGATCGGATACGGAAGGAGGAAGAGAAGGCGCGACGAGAGCTCATCAAACAGGAATACTTGCGGAGGAAGCAGCAACAGATTTTAGAAGAACAAGGACTGGGAAAACCTAAATCGAAGCCAAAAAAGCCGCGGCCAAAGTCAGTCCATCGGGAAGAGTCGTGTAGCGACTCGGGAACCAAGTGCTCCTCAACCCGTAAGCAGCTCTGTTGGGAGTGGCGGCCCTGGTCCTCTTTCCCACGTGAGATGCTGCCCCCGGCGGCAGAGCGCTCTCACGTTCTTGACCTCATTTTAATTTTCCCAACAACTGTGAGGTGATGTGGTGAGGAGCGTTACCCCCATTTTACAGATGGGAAAGTTGAGATGAAGTGCTCATGTCCTCAGGTGGTAAGATGTGTGGTGTGCGAGGTGGTTCCCCCACGGTGGGGTGTACGTGTGCTGCCCCTTGACGGGAGATGGAGCTGCAGAGTGCTGGATACCACAGGATCGGCGTTTGGGCCCTGGTTCTTTCTACCGTACCACAGGTCAGGGAGAAGCTATGCAAATACAATGGGGGACAAATACACGTCTTGTGAAAGCTTCTTTTTGTCTCCGGCAGCTGATAACCTGAGCCGGGCCCAGTCGGGCTCCAGCCTGTCCTTGGCCTCCGCAGCAACGACTGAGCCCGAGAGCGTTCATTCAGGGGGCACGCCTTCCCAGCGGTAAGGAGGCTAGGGGAGGGGACAACGGAATTTTCAGATTAAAAAAAAATTGTATGGGAGATGGTTTCATAACTTGAGCTTTGATATAATTTCAGATGTCCAGAAGAGTTGGGGTAATTTCACAAGAACTCCTAAATGCCCTTCACCTGGGGTCCCCAGTTGGTTACACTTGGTGACAGTTTGCTTTGTCTCTCTCCCCAGCCCCGTGTGCGTTTGTGTTGTCGGTCAGTTAAGAGTGAACGGGAGACGTCAGTGTGTGTTTCCTGTGAACAGGGACTTCTCGTGTTACCACAGTTACCCAACCCACACTTTTATCCAGTGCTCTCCCCACGCTCAGTTGTCGTCAGCTGTCCCTGGTGTCCTGAGAACCGTGTTTCCGCAGTTGAGGAGCCGTTCAGTGCCTCACCCTGAATCGCTGTTTTCTTTAGTCTGGAACAGTCCTTAGCCCTCCTTTGTCTGTCTTTACCTTGACACTTGGAGAAGTACAGGCCGGTTGTTTGGTTGACTGTCCCTCAGTGTGCCTTTCCCCACGATCAGGTTGAGGCTGTGCGTTTTCGGTGTGCACTGTTCTCAGTGCAGCCTGTCAGGCGTGTCACGTTTACTTGAGTTAAGTAAGTACTTGGGTGTTTGCCACTGGTACTGAACAGTTTCCCTTTGTGATTAAAAAGCAATTTGGGAAGAGGTGCTGGGGACCTTGTTGATCCCACTGAACTGCTCACGGGCCTTGGTAACCACCGCTCATCCCCTCCGTCGCCTCTTCCATGTGTGTTGTTGGCCTCTTCTGGTAGGCACATCCCCCTTCCTGTCTCTCATTTTGTGTGCACATCCTGTGGCTGTAGCCCCATTGTCCTGCCTCTTCACATGTCCAGTGGCTTCTGGTTGCCTGGGCTTTGTGGAGGTCGCCTCTCAGGGCCTCTGGATTCTGGTTGGACTTTTGTTCTGGTGGTCGGTGACCTGGGCTGGATTTGACTCCAGCCCTGCCTGCCTGCCTCCCACGCGTGAGCAGCTGTGCCCAGCCTTGCGACCGCTGGAATCTGCTTCGCTGAGTGGAGGCTGCCCTGCAGTGGGACGGCTCGGGCCTGCTGGGCGTGAGAGTGCCGTTGAGAAGGGGAGCTTTGGGCCGGCCCTCTCGGTCCCCTCCTTCCTTCCCTCGGTCTGGTCCCTCATTTGGCAGCAGCACAGATTCATACTTCATCCTCCAGCTTCCCAAACAGTCAGGCACCGAGCGTGGCTCTCCTGCTCGGTGGGGGCGGCGCCATTGGCCAAGGGCCGCCTGCAGGTGGACCTTCTCTGATGGACCTCAGCTCCCCTCGGCCGTCGGCTTTCCTCACTCTGTACTGCCTGAAGTGTTGGGTTTTGTATTTTGCCTAGAGTTTGTAATTGTGTTCCACAAGGAACAGACCGTTGCCAGAAGCCTCCTCCCACTGTGGATGCTCCTCCTCCTCCTTCTTTTTTCTTTTGCTGAGGAGGATTCGCCCTGAGCTAGCAGTGGGTGTTCCTCCTTGCACTCGTGGGGCAGCTTGGCCTGTTTCGGGGTGGGATTCTGCAAGGCAGCAGCCAGTGTGGGCAAAACAGGTGTGCCCCACCCATCCCTGCATGCCCCTCGTCCTTGTCTTCAGCAGAGTCGAGTCCCTGGAAGCCCTGCCCGTATTAAGCCGCAACCCGAGCAGAAGCACAGACAGAGACTGGGAGACGGCGTCCGCAGCGTCCTCCCTCGCCTCCGTGGCCGAGTACACAGGTGACAGCCTTGCTTTCTGTAGAGGTCATAGGCAGCCGTCGATGTCGTGGGGGGCGGTGACGGGTGCATCACATCTGTGTGAGGGAGGCAGTGCTTGGCCCTCTAGCTGCCTCAGTGGTGGCTGATGTGCCTTTGTGTCCACACAGCCCCGTGGCCAGGTACTGTGTCCTTGGCACTTTGGAACCTTAGGTTTTTAAAAATTATTATATTCTGGTTTTACTTTTTTTAATACCAAACTGAAATTAGAAAGAGGATAAATTATTAATTAGTCTTTTCCTTGGTTTATTTAAAATTCATAGCTCGCAATTTTTTTCAGATAGGTTTGAAGTAGCTGTTACTTCCCATTTTCAGAAAATCATAAGCATCCCTAATTTAGCCTGCCTGTTGTGTGGCTCTAAGGAATTCTTGGCTTCTTTCATGTGTGTGATGTGCCTTAGAATATTAATTTTACAAACCTTGGCCTGGTTTCCACAGGTCCCAAGCTCTTTAAGGAGCCTAGTAGCAAATCCAACAAACCGATCATTCATAATGCTGTGTCCCATTGCTGTCTGGCTGGAAAAGTGAATGAACCTCACAAGAATTCGATATTAGAGGCAAGTATCAAATTCTACCACTAAGTTTGTATGTGGACTGGGAGGTGTTTATAAATTAAGCGTTCTTTCTAAAAGAAAACGTTGTGATGGTTTGCGCAGGAGGCTTATTGCTTTGTGAGGCGGGTCTCCTCTTCCTTTAGTGTCATTGAGGGACCTCGGCGCCCGGGGCTGGGTCAGGGAGCACACCCAAAAGCTGGGCCGCGGGGCTGGTCTAGGCATGGCAGCTTTGCAGGCCACAGCCTGTTGCTCAGCTCCAACGTCTTGATGTGAAAATGGCCGCAGATGGCGTGTGGGCAGACGGACGAGGCTCTGTCCCCCTAAACTGTGTTTAAAGGCAGGTGGTGACTGCGTTTGGCCTGCGGCCCCAGGTTGGAAAGTGATTAGTAATCTGGAAAAGAGGGAGAGGTGGGCAGGGTTAGGGTCCAGAGGATGCGGTGGTCAGTGGGCGGGTCAGGGAGGTCCTCCTAGAAAGTGACCTGGACGAGGGGAGGTTTGGGGAGAGCTCCAGGCAGCAGGAGTGCACTGTGCAGAGGCACCAAGCAGGAGGGGGCATGTGCTGAGCTCGTGGGAGCCAGTGGGCTGGAGCAGGGACTGAGGGGAGGTCAGAGGGTGCAGGTGGCCGTAGGACAGGACTCCAGCTTTGCTTTGCATGAACGCAGGTGTGGACAGAGGAGGCTGTGAGCTGACCCGCCTTCTGAACAGCCACATTGGCTGCCAGGTCCAGAATAGGCTGAAGAGAGTGAGGGTGTAAGTGGGAGCCGAGTAACAAAAGCCAGAGGGGAGGGCGCTGACTGGGACCAGGCTGCCAGAGTGGGGAGGGCCGGAAGGGCCTGGAGTGTGGATGCGTGACTTATTGCAGCTAATTCTATTCATGCTTGAACACAGTTTTTATGTAGTTGAAATCAGCATTTTATATATATATATATATCCACTTTGAATTCTACTTTTTCTTCTTGATCTTTTAAAGTAGTATTTGTTAGTAATTTATTCAAAATAGTAACAGACCCTCTTTATATGCTGACAAGAACAAAATACATTTATGAAGAATAACTGTTTTCTTTCTTTTTTCTTGGTGAGGAATGATTGGCCCTGAGCTAATATCTCTTTCCTATCTTCCTTTTTTTGTTTGAGGAAGATTGTCCCTGAGCTAACATCTGTGCCAGTCTTTCTCTATTTTGTATGTGGGATGCCACCATAGCATGGCTTGATAAGTGGTGCACAGGTCCCTGCCTGGGACCCAAACCTGTGAACCCTAGGCCACCGAAGCAGAGTGGGCAAACTTAACCACTATGCCACCAGGCTGACCTGAAGAATAACTATTTTCTAAAGCAAAAATCAATAGAAGACTGGCGTTGTTTTACATTTTTACAAATCTTTTAAATTCCTGGCTTTGTAGAAGACGATCCTCATCCACTTCTACAGCCGGTTTGTTCCGAGAGCACATGTCTGCAGTCTTGGAGAACCCCACTGTCCACTGCACGAGGAGAGGGCGCAGCCAGAGCCCTTCTCAGAGTTACTGTAGAAGGAGTGTGGGCCTCGGGGCCCCGAGAGGGTTTCAGGACCCCCGGACTGTGCTTGAGAGCAGCTGGGTAGGAAGTTAAACTAGGTCTGTTGAGGCAGGAGGAGCACCTGTTTTAAAAAAACGTTAATACAGAGACATCTCCCAGACCACCATACAGCAGACACTCCCAGGACGCACCGTCATGTTTGCTTCAGGCCCTTCTTTGTGGCTCGTCACTGAAGGACCACTCGCCACCAGAAACCCCGCCCTGTCGAGGGGTAGTTGAGTGGTTTAGTCTGTTCACAGAGCAGTTCAGCCGCCGCAGCTTGCTCGTTCCAGCACGTTTCATCACTCGGAACAGAAACCCTGCACCGGTCAGCCCAGCCCCAGGCTCCCGCCCTCCCCGTCCTGGCTGCCACGAACCTGCTGTCTGTCTCTAGGATGGGCCATTTCTGAACCTTTCATGTGAAGGGTCTCATCCATTAAGCAGCCTTTGGTGTCCGGCTCTTTCAGTCAGCATCATGTTTTGTTTTTTTTTCTTTTTTTTTTTTTAAGATTTTATTTATTTTTTATTTTTCCTTCTCCCCAAAGCCCCCCAGTACATAGTTGTACATTTTATTTTATTTATTTATTTTTTTGAGGAAGATTAGCCCTGAGCTAACTGCTGCCAGTCCCTCCTCTCTGCTGAGGAAGACTGGCCCGGAGCTAACATCCAGGCCCATCTTCCTCTGCTCTATGTGTGGTATGCCTACCACAGCATGCCTTTTGCCAAGTGGTGCCATGTCCCCACGCGGTATCCGAACCAGCGAACCCCGGGCCGCCAAGAAGCAGAATGTGTGAACTTAACTGCTGCGCCACCAGGCCGGCCCCAGCATCATGTTTTCAAGTCTCGTCATGTTGCAGCATGTGTCAGTGCCTCACTCCTTTTTGTGGCTTAGTAATACTCCATTCTATGGATGGACCCCATTTACCCATTCTTCAGTTGATGGACACTTGGGTGGTTTCTCCTTTTTGGCTGTTATGAATGATGCTGCTGCGCACGCTCATGTACAAGTTTTTGTGTGGATGTGTGTTTTAAATTTTCTTGAGTGAAACCTAAGAGGAGGATGCTGAGTCACACGGTAAGTCTGTGTTGAACATTTTGAGCAGCGGCTGCGCCATCCTCCATTCCCACCAGCAGTGCATGAGGGCCCGATTTCTTTCACCCTCAGCAACACTTATTAGTGTCTGTCTGTCTGATGCAGCCATCCCTATGAGTGTCAAGTGCTATCTCTTTGAGGTTTTGATTTGCGTTTCTCTGTTGGCTAATGATGTTGAGCACTTTTCTTGTGATTTTTCACTTGTTTAAAAGCACTTTTTTCCTTGCATACCTAGACTTGAGTAAATCTCAATGGCATCTGATGCTCCACTGAATGGATGACCCATAATTTCAGAGTAGGAGACTACAGATGGTGTATCAGTCAGCTTTCAGGAGCGGGTGTTACCAGTCACTGGCCTCTTGGTCGTGGGACGCTGTAGATGCTGTGACTGTGGGTGCCACTCTCAAGTCCTCCTTTCTTTTCCCTTACTCCCCGATACAGGAGCTAGAGAAGTGTGACGCCAATCACTACATCATACTGTTTCGTGATGCCGGCTGCCAGTTCAGGGCACTTTACTGCTATTATCCAGACACTGAGGAAATCTACAAATTAACTGGCACGGGGCCAAAGAGCATTACCAAGAAAATGATCGACAAACTGTATAAATACAGCTCAGACCGGAAACAGTTTAACCTGATCCCAGCCAAAACCATGTCCGTCAGTGTGGATGCTCTCACTATCCACAACCACCTGTGGCAGCCCAAGCGGCCTGCAGCGCCAAAGAAGACCCAGACTCGTAAATGACACTGGCGCGGGCTGCGTCTGAACATGTGCCGAGGGGATCGATATTTATTATTTTAATCCGTTTGGGTACGAAGTGTGCAAAGTCACAGACCTTTTACGAAGAGGCTTCTAAAGAACAAAAGAAAACCCTCCCTTAGCTCCCAGCACACAGAGGATGCCAGGTGCAGCAAGAACGGAGGGAGAAACACCGTTTGCAGTTACTCCTGGCTGCCGGGGTCCCTGCTAACCACGGAGGCCTCACACGGGGGATGTGCCTGTAGGCGGTGGATTCCTTTTACTTGAAGTTCTCCTTCAGTGTGAATTAAAGTGATTTACTCTGCGCTCTCGCCTCTCACCTCACCCCCTTTGCACGTGACCTGACACCCTCATGTTGGCCAGCTGTAATCTTGTGAGATTATAGGACTGAGACTCGGGTCTCAGGTCAGGGTGTTTGAATGTCTTTAGGAAAGGAACTCGTATTAGGGAAATCTTTTTCATTTGAGAAATTGTATGATATTTATTGATTGTGTCTACTGCCAACGTTTATATCCAATTCTAAGATTTCTGAAAAAACTCTTGTTCCTTGCTGCTCAGAAAAAGTTTACTGAAAATACCAGTTCACTAAAAGCACTGAAATCTGCAAGTCTGTCTTCTGCTAAAGTAAGGTTTACAAATACGGAGCTGACCCTTGCTGACCCGCAATCATGAGGATGGTGAATGGTACTATTAGCCAGCGTTTGCCTAACTGAAAACGGGCAAGCTGAGCAGATTACAGCCCTTGTTCGTTAAGTTTTGGATAGTACTCTAATGATTTGTTCACTTTAATAAAGACAGATTTTGGTAAAGTAGAATATTTTTCACTCTGAGCATGTTTCTTGTAAAAGGTGATGCACTCAAGCTGACAGTTCTTACAGTGTTCCATTTTGTCACGACCTGCCCTGCCTGATTCCTGCTTCTGGAAGAGCAGCTCGCCCTCAGAGGAGCGTGCGGTTCTCTGTTTAGATCGATAGTTTTGTGTTGTCGCCTGTTTAGAAACACAGTGGCCGTTTGCGGTTGCTTCGGAACTCCGAGTGAGTGGAGTGGCTCTGGGCTCTCTCCGCGCGTCCCGACGGGCAGGAAACTGCTCCAGACCAGACGGTCCCTGGGAGCGGTTGCGGCCAGTCCGGCCTGGGCGCGTACCCGCCTCCCTGTGCCCGCCCTCGCGGGGCCGCAGCTCTGCTGACACCTTGTGACTGACCAGCTGCCCCGAGTCTGCGTTTGATCCATCTGCCGGAAGATTCTGGAGTCACTTCTGTTAGTTTTGCACATATTTTTGGGGAGTGTTACTTGAATCTCAAGCTGCAGAGAAAAATAAAGATCAATAGAAAAAGTTAAACGAGTGTTAACTGTTCCATAATTTTAGATGGATAAAAAAGGTAACGAGGAAACAGGTATAAAACATTAGAAGGAATTGTGGGTCTTTCTTCGTCCCCTCTGTCCTCTGCAGTTGTGTACATGCTGTGTTGGAGGCAGCTGTGCTCCACCCGTCTTGGTGGAGGCTGCGTGCCCTTGAGTGCCGAGTGTGACAGGTCCTTTGTGAACTCCTGCTGCCCTGCTTTCACCCTCGTGTGGGATTCTCACTGTACGCTTGGTATTCTATTATTATATTTATTTTAAGGAAGCACTAAATGTAATAAAGTCATTGACTAATTTACTTTTATTGATCACACGTGTGTGAGGTTGTCATGGCTCATTTTGTCATTCAGTGTCACAGCTCCTTGCTTTAGAGGAGTTTTACGTTGGTGTTAGTTAACTAACTTTCCTCTCCTAGAAAATCACATTGTTCTGTCTTCCAGAGAAGTGAGGCTTGCCAACTGCTTCCTTTATGAAGTCCAAATGTGTGACAACTTCTCTGTCGTGTTGTAACGTAATCCTCTTGAGGTAAGTGGAATTTGATTTAATGAAGATTTAGAGGTACTTCTGGCATAGAGCTGGAAAATAAACATTCCTGCCAAACTTCTGGATTTTCTTGATGTAATTAGTCAATGTATGGAGCATCCTGAGAATTGTTCGCGTGCAGTTTTGCGCTGTGTTAGGTCAGCCACCACTAACAGCAGCTGACGTTTCTGATGTCCCAGGTCTGTAGGCCAGCGCTCCGTAAATGGCCGAAAGAAGTGTTCCCTGTCTTCTCTGCGCATTGATTGGCGTAGCAACCTTTTTTATTGTGAAAAACGTTGGACACGCAGGATTTTAGTCCTTTCTGGCTTGGATGTGATAAAGACAGAATTTTTCAGTTTATAGAATTGAGTTGGAGCTGTCTTTATAAACGTTTCACATTTTGCAAAGCACCTGCAATATTTGTGTCATGTTGCAAATTTCTAAGGATGGTAATGTACATTTTTCATTGCCTTTCAGAATTCTGGTGGTATTATTTAAGACAAGTTGCTCTTGTCTACCCATGTAGAATTTAACCTTTTTTTAAAAAATTTTTTTAATTTTTTTTGAGGAAGATTAGCCCTGAGCTAACATCTGCTGCCAACCCTCCTCTTTTTGCTGAGGAAGACTGGCCCTGAGCTAACATCCGTGCCCATCTTCCTCTACTTTATATATGGGATGCCTACCACAGCATGGCGTGCCAAGCGGTGCCATGTCCACACCCGGGATCCAAACCCTCGAACCCCAGGCCGCCGAAGTGGAACGTGCACACTTAACCGCTGTGCCACTGGGCTGGCCCCAGAATTTAATCTTTTAAAGAAAGTATCAACCAAATGATTGAACGTGTGATGAAGTTTATCTAAGTCCTTGGTAATGACATGGAATCCTGGGAGCCCCAAAGGCTTGGTGTGTAAGATGAATGCCCACCACTGGAAGGACCCACAGCTAGAATATACAACTGTATACTGGGGGGATTTGGGGAGAAAAAGCAGGGGAAAAAAAGAAAGATGAATGAAACCTGAATGAGTCCCATTTTGCAAACGTGTTACACCCACCCACACGTGTGGATGCATGTGAGTGTGCGTGCGTGCACGTGCTGAGGGTGGGCTGTCTCCACGTGTGCTCTTCAACTTGACTTTCTCAGCCTGTTACTGCAGAGCAGGATCCAATCGGGTCTTTTAGGCCAAAACTGTATTTTTCAATCAGCCAAAATTGAAAAGTAGAATAATTCTAAAGTTGCTCCTAGGTTACACTTACATTCCTTGAAACTGTAGTTGTTATTTGGGGAGAAAAAGTGTTTACCTGAAATAAAATTTCTGTTATAATTACCTTGGATAGCCTTTTATAATTGATGCTGATTCGTTTTGTGAAGTGGGGTTTGGCTTTTGAAAGGTAGGAAGGAGCGTCTTTAAGCTGCTTCCCGTCACCATTCATCTCCCGGGCGTCTCTGTCCGAGTGTTGTGACATGGGAAGGACAGTGCTGCGCTCTGCATCCTCGTCACAGCCAAGTCCGTCAGCGTTAGCTGGGCAGCAGAGCATCCAGGTTTGCGTCTCTCGTCGCAGGCGTTTTCCTGAGCAGCTGGGGGAGGGCCTTTCTGGGCCTGGAGTCCTTTCCTGGGCTGTCTCCATGACAGTGCCCTGTGGGTCTGGCATCACCAGCAGAGCTGTGTTGGGTGTTCCCTCTTTTCACGTAAATTCTACTTGCTGTAATTTATCGCATTTGAAGGCCCAAGCACTGTGACGGCTGAGAGGGTGGGGCTTGCCCTGATAAGCCCAGGCTCCCTGTCTTCCCTCCTCCTCTCGCTCCTTTCCTCCCTCTCTCTTCTCTCCTTCCATCTCTCCCTGTCTGCCACCCCCATGGAAATTAGCGTGCTCATGTGACCTCTAGAAGACGGGTGGTCTCCACTCCCCACCTCACATGTCCTCTCTTCTTCAGAAAGAGCAAGTTGCAGTCTCTGAATTATTTCCTAAATAGCAAGGGAAGTATTTTGCCAAAGCCACTTATAATGAAAATGAATAATAGAGCAAAGAAATGTAGTAAAAACTGGTCTGAACTCCACGTAGTTAAGCCCAGGCATGCAATTATGTGAAAGATTGTTTCAGGAGAAAACATTTCTTGGCAATGAGAAATTTGGGTTGCTTCTGGTGCAAAAGCACAACAGCATTCAAACCATGTTTCCCATAAAAATGAAGTCGGCTAGTGTCAGAAGCCAGCAGACTTGGCCTTGGAATCCTCTCTCTGGGCCTGTGTTTCCAGCTGGCGATTGATCGGAAACTGGATGTCTTTGCTCTGAACCCAGGCTGCGCCATTCGAGTGACCCCGCGTGTGCGCTCCAGCCTGTGCACGCTGCAGCCTTTGAGGGATAAAGGTTCTGAGCTGAGCACGGCTGTCCAGTGTTGAGGTTGCCGAGACACGCTGTTGGGGCATCTGCACATGCACAGTTCACACAGATGGCACAGGTGACGGTGTTCTCCGGAGGTGGTGGTGGTACCCCCACAGGACACAGGCGGAGACAGGCTGACATGATACCAGGCTTGCTGACTCTGGCAGGAAATGATCGTGTTCATTCCTCTCTTGTTCTCGAAAGAATGGAACAAAAATGTCCTTCTCATTGCTTCATGGCATCATGAAGAGTAAGTTACATTTATAGTTTGAAGTGCTTTTTGATATGATGGGTCAAGAGTAGAGACTTCTGTGCAGTTGGCATGCTGCCAGAAGTACCAGGCGTTGAACTTGGGGCTCAGAGAACCCAGACGACCGTGGTCTGGTCTTTGTTCCTCTGGGTTGGGTCCTGTGGCTGAATGTGCATGAGCGTTCTGGACGCGTTAGCAGTTCCATTAGCTGAAGCATCAGGACTGGAATTTAAAGCATGTGTTTTTTTTTTTAAGCAGTTATTTTCACTTGAACTGTAAAGCTCTCTAGTTTCTGCTTTTGTAAGAAACGAAATTTATTTTTTGCCCTTTTATTCCAGGTAGTAAGTTTTTGTTGTTTTCGTTCCAATACAGTCCTGTTCTTTTTTTGAGTTGAAGTAGAACGTTCTTAAAGAGAAGTAAATGAATCAAGTATGTAGCTTGATATGTTTTCACAAAGTGCTGATTCTGATTTTGTTTTTCAGGAATATTAGCTCTGAGCTAACATCCATGCCCATCTTCCTCTACTTTATATGTGGGACACCTATGACAGCATGGCACTTGCCAAGCGGTGCCATGTCCGCACCCAGGATCCGAACCGGTGAACCCCAGGCTGCCAAAGTGAAGTGCGTGTGCTAACTTAACCCCTGTGCCACCAGCCAGCCCCTGATTCTGATTTTGGAATGAGTGATTCCCAGTATTCTCCCTGGAATTTTTTGCTCCTAAATTATATTTATTAATAACTGTTTTATCCAACAGTTTTATCCAACCGCCTGTATCTAGCTGTGCAGGCGATGAGCTGGGTGACGGTTGCTGCCACGTTGAGGTGATGGAGAGGCCCAGTGTGGTAGACGATTTGCAGCTTTGGAAATATGTTGGGCACCACGATTTCATAATTTTAGTGCTGAAGTTATTTTTGTCTGTATTTCTTCAAATCAAACTCTCATTCAGCTCGCAAACGCCCCTGTGTTAATGGGGAGTAAGTTCCCTCATCCAAGGGAAAGATACGTTGCTGGGCACACCCCGATGACCGGGGAGGCGGACCTCGCTGACGACTGTAGATCCTTTCAGTGCTGGACGAGGTGGACGGTCGTTAGTGCGTCTTCTCCGTAGGATCACACTGGCTGCTGCTCTTGGGCGCATATGAGGTGCGGTGTTTAGAGAGTGGAGTGGTCAGACCAGGGCCAGGTTATGGACAGCCTGGTGAGGGGACATGGGGCAGACCTAGAGTCCTCTCTCGGGGGACAGTGGAGGGACGTCTTCCTTCTTTGTTAGCCTCGGACCATGCTGTGGCACCGGATGGCTTTCGGTAAAAGTTTGTTAAGCGTCCTATTGGGTTGAAGTCGGGTGGACCCCGAGTCCTTGCATCTGTAGCTGATTTAAAATGTTGTGAGGGATGTTGGGTGTTAGAAATCCCATGTGACCAGTGAGCGTCAGGTGGTGTGGGGGAGGGCATCAGTGGGGACGACCACACTGAACTCTGGGGACCAGAGGACAGGAATGTGGATGGCCGACACAGGACGGTGGCTGAGTAGAGTCTCCACCCTGGGCAGTGTGGGGGCAAATGTCAGACGTGGATGGGGGTCCCACCAGGAGGGAAGGAGGCACATATACTGGGGGGCGTGGCTCCAGAACACCCCGTGTCCTTGGTAGGGCCTCTTCTTACCTGGACTCGTACTTGCTGTAGACGTGCCAGGCAGAGTCCCACAGGAAGGTCGAGGGCGTTTTTCAGGGTGGGAAGGGACAGCCACGGGGTAGTGGGGCAGAATCGGTCTGTAAGAGACCTAGGAGTCATTTGGGCAGTGGGAGGGCCATGGCTGGACAGTCTGG